TCATTTCCACCATTAGGAATACAATTTTGGGTTGTAAGAATGAATTTGTTGGTGTGGTGGTTTCTAATTAAATGTAGGAACATCTTCTCTACATATTTGGTGAGCCAGCACCTCCTCCAACAACTTCACCTCCTCCACCTGCAGTTCCACCAACTGCTATTGCAGCAAATGGAGTTGCACATGTTGCTGCTGTTGCTGGACCGGCTCCTCAGCCAGCCCTGTTAGCTCAACCAGCGCTAGCTGCTCAGCTAGCCCCTCTGGGGCCACAGCCAGGCCATTTTGCTCCACCTCCAGTTCCCCATCCAGGCTACCTGGCTCCTCAGCCAGGCCACTTTTATCCACCTCCAGCTAATCTATATCCGCCTCATGCTCAGTAATTCCAGAAAGGATGTGAGCATTTTTTGTTAAAATGGCCAATAGGAATGTTCTTATGGATATCTGGAACGTTAACCTCTGGTAGGAACAAGAGATTTATAGATATCTGGAGCACTGGGATTAGCCCACTATTGTGGACCAATCAGAGCGCTCTATCAGTTTGAAACCCCTATAGAAAGTTATGATTGACCAGCCAGAATGCTGCTAGGGCTGCGGAGGTTCCAATGGAGCGTTCTTAAGCCTGATTTATGCTTCTCCGTCTGCGTTAGTGCGAAGACACGCAACGCCATTTTTCTTCCTTGCGTAGGGCTCCGGCAGGCACGCAAGTACGTACGGAGTCGAGCCCATTTTTTTAAACATCCGTCGAATGAGACGGATTACGCAAGCTTGTGATTGGTCAGGACGCCGCTGTTGTTTACAGTGCCGCCATTGCAAAGAGAGCCGAGGATAACTAGCGGCAGACACGGAGAAGCTTGAAGAATACCTCGCGAAAAAACTCTTAAAATATGAACGTTTAATTCTCCCGTGACTGGAGGAGTGAAAAGATGCGCAGCAAGCATTTTATTTGTGGACGGAAATGACAGGAAACGTGGGTTTAGAGGTGGGGAACGCATGAAGCGGTGGGAGAATGAGAGACAAATATGTCCGTGTTAAAAGTCTCTTATATACACAAAAAACAAAATATAAACACACTATCTTGGACCGATACATGATAGGATACCACATAACAGCACTATGCCCTCTGTTGTCCTGCCGGGGAATTGCTTTGCAACACTTTCCAGGAGACGGAGAAGTATGAGAGCAAAACGCTTCCGTCAATCCGTGTGTGTCTGTCCCTTGCGGAGCTGACGGAGAAGCATAAACCAGGCTTTAGACCAAACTTTGCAAAGCAAGAATTTGATCTAGTTCACTGGGCTAGTGAAGCGAGGAAGTTCTAGCGGCAACAGAAAAGATGCTAATGTCTCTAAGGAGGTGCAAGTGCACCAGATTTGCTCTAACTTACTCCACAAAAGCTTGCAGGAAACTTGCCAATATATTAATTTATGAATATGAGTGGACCAAAAATACAATAAAAATTTAGGCAAGGCAAGAACACCATCAAATTTCAATCTACATAAATAACGACAATCCACAAAATAATAGCCATAAATGTAAGTCTCCACAGTAACTTTCAGATCCGAGTCTAGTTTGGGTCCAGAAAAAAAGAAAAAGACCAGACACCAACTGTGTCTCTATTTATCCTCAGCGTTGTTTGGTGAGATGAAATCCCGTTGTACTCTTTGGTACGTGATGTGAAGCTTAGCCGGAATAAAGATACCAAACCGAGCTCCTTCAATGCTCCGAAGTGGACTCAGAATGTTGTTGAAAACTGCACAAGCCCGAGCTCTTGTGGTCAGTGAAGGCAGAGATGACCATATTACGTATCTGTATTTGTTGCATTTCCCGGCTGATCGGGGGCGGGTGTAGGACTGAAAAAGGTCAGGGGCTTAGCCAAGAGGAGTGATTTTCTATTTTTTAATGAAACATTTCAACTTTCACATTTTGACCATCTTAAAGCAGACAAAAACACTAGATTACACTTTTAAACTGATATGTTGATAAAAACAAATTGTTAGCTTCAGTACTATGAAATCAAATCCTCTATGGAAATTTACATTAGGATTTTAGCAATGTTGATGCAGTACTCCTCACATTTATTCATATCCTTCCATTAAAGAAAAGACTAAATTCACAGAAGTCAATGAAAGAAACTAAAAATATAGAAAACATCTCAATTGTAATTATGCTAAATTGTTAGAATTAGAAAGCTCTACTGCCATTGTTCAACAGGAAGTGCTGCTGGCACAACGAAGCTGCAAAGGTCCTGGTCCTAATATTTACTCTGGAGAAAAGAAAAAGTAAAAAACATATGATAAATAAAAACATCACAAACACTGCTGGTGTCTGAAAGTAAAATAATTAGGTTATATAACTAGGTTATGTACCTAGGTTATAGATTATTTTATATTGCGTTTATGGTGACTGTGTTCATTAGAATGGTGGTCACTTGTTGAGCCTTGAAATAAAACTTTACCTTTGAATTGTGGCTGAAAAAAAATTTGAACCAAATAATCCCAGAAATATGAGAAATGTTCTCTAATGACCTGGGGTCTCTATTATCAAACATTGCATAGAATCCTTACTAAAACCGTACTTAAGCTTAGCAAAAAAAAATGTACTTACGCCAAGTAGGTTTGTGATCTATCAAACATGGAGTACGCACAGCTGCACGCAATCTCCGCTTCATAAATCAGAGACTAAAGAGAAAGTTTCTCAGCTGCTTTTTAGTCACATCCCGCCCTCACCACGCCCACTTACTGCCATAAATAGTCAATGCAAAGTGCCTTGTGGATCTCATGCATATTCAAATTCAAATTCAAAAAAACTTTAATCATCCCTGAGGGGCAATTGTTTCAGTACAGAAGAATTGGTACTGTGGTCATTCGCAACAAGAGTCGCGCTACCGTTAATTAGATGAAAAGGGGATCACATGAGGATAAATTGGAAGAGGGAAAAAAAGACATACCAGGCATCCCGGCAGGGCGTAGCTTTACTATGCAAAAAAAAAAAAAACGCCTCAAACATATAAGCACGAACATCACAGTTCACGACATGACACCGAGAGGAAGGCGCGGGGGGGGGGGGGGGGGCTGTTTCCCCAGCGAGAGCAGCCCTGTGGCGCTCAGCCACTGTAGCCACAGGTGGGAGGGAGATCTTGGGAGGAGCGCAGAGCACATTGACACCTGCAGGTTGATGACCTCGCCAGGCTGAAGTCCACCAATCCGAAGGCGGGGGGGGTAGGTTGGGTTTTCACAGCATCTGTCTGCATTCCTTCGTGGGGGTTTGTTGTTGGCATTCACAAGGCTGCCATGGCGTCAGATTTGGATAAGACTTTGTTTGGGTCAGGCAGAGATAATTTTCCTCTCTGCCTTGAAGTGTGTAACTGATCATTCAAGTCCTCCAGTGAAGCTTAATTCAGGTTTTAAACATCTCCACACCGTCCAGTGACCCTCTCCGAGATGACATCCATTTTGCGCACTAATACCGGTATCGCAGCTAGAACATTGTCCAGCTTACGATTCACATCGAGTAACGTCCCAGTCTGTGAGGTCTCCACACGGACGGTGCTTTCCGTGGGTGCGGCTCGCCCTCCAATCGCTCCCGTCTTCCCAAATTTCCAGAAAACCAGATATCCACCCACTCCAATCAGGAGAAATCCAGTGATCATCAGGCCAAATATCCACACATCTTCGACATCCTCAATGGACAACTGAGAGAGGCATACGATCTTCCACTCCCTCCTGGAATCGAGCATATATCCCACTGCGTGTGTCCTTTGCGGGCAAGTGGGTGCCCCCTCCTCCGTTCTCATTGTAGAAAAAAATCTTGTCAATCGCGTTGAATGACCAATTAATTAAATCCATTCTAAAAAATAGGGTTTTGCAGAAGAAATGCAGAGAAGCGCTCTGTGGGCAGACAGGACAAAGAGCCTTGGGAAAAAAAAGATAAGGGAGCAAAAGCAGAAGCGTCTGTACTCTGCGAGTGCCGGAAGAAGAAGACATACATAAGCCGGCTGTTGCTGCGCTCTGCCAATGACGATGGCGACCGTAAATCAAGGCAGATCAAGGAAGCACAATTTCACAGAAGCAGAAATCCAGGTACTTGTGGGTGAGGTGGGATAATGAAAGGAAGTGCTTTTGCAAAACAAATAAGAGAAAATCCACAGAGTTGCACAGCGTTGCTGAAGCCGTCAATGTTGAGTTCTTCAGAGAGATCTGTGGCGGATATAAAAAAAATCGCCCAATCAGGATTCGATCCCCAGACTCCTGGGTGAAAGCCACGTGTGCTAACCAGTCACACAAACAGAGATCTCCCTTGTCCAAGTAGCCAGCGCATAATTAATCGGGTCAACGGCTGTGTCTCAATTCAGGGTCTGCATCCTTCGAAGGACCCAGCCCACCCGGCCGACGTGGGCTGCGTCCTCCGTCGGCCGGGTAGACCGGATGTTAACGGCTGTGAATTTGGACAGGCCTAGCCTTCATGAACTCCCTCGGCGAACGTTCCGTCGCCTAGCAACCGTGGAACCGCTGGGCAGAAGGAACCTTAAACGATGGAGCTCGACGTTTTATTTAGCTTTTTAACCCCCAGAAACCCAAATTTAGAAAACAACTGCAAAATATTTTTAACCTTTCACATGTTGTTCTAGGAGGCCAGATAAACGGGCCTATTTACACATTTTAACAGCCAATAGTGTTGCAGAACTGAATAGGACCTATTAGCAATGTAAATGTGGTTTTAAAAAGAAAAAAAATGGGGAAGGTTTATTTTTGTAGACTTAAATCTGATGTTGTGATACTACAACCGTGGGTCTCAAGGGGTTAATCATTTCCTTGACTGTTGGAGAGCTAATTCAGAGAAAATACTTTAGACTAGCTGAGCCTGAGCAAAGATGTGATAATAGTTTTTAATACTTAAGGGTCTTAATTTGACCAAAACCGATTTATCACCTTTTAAGACTTTTCAAGACCCAGCGGATACCCTCTAGTAAACAATTCTCATTTGTAAACAAAAATAAAATTCAAGAGTTTAATGCAGAACTGATTTTATTTAGATATTTCTTTTATATGTACATGTTTAATCTTCATTAACCATTTTTTTCTAGCAAAGTAAAAAGCTGTCAAAGTTCTTCCTTCTCTCCTGTGCTCTCTGCTGCTCTGCAGCCTCATGTCCTCCCAGATCAGCTCCAGAAGCTCATCGCTGGCACCTTCCCCTGGATGCCCATTTTCTCCAGAATAGTCTTAACAAACATGTAAGAAAAGAAACAGGAAGAGAAAAGAGGACAACGGGTTATTCCTTTCATGTTTTCGCAGAAAAAAATATACTCAAACGAGTTTTTAAAATATGAGATGTTATTGTACCTCCATGCCACAGCCGCCGAATACTTTGCTCCGGTGATCATGTGGTCCATCTCCGCCCTAAGCTTAATAAATTCCCTGGTTTTCTCTTTTGGTCCTAAAATACAAACTTCTATTAAAATCAGGGGGAAACGTAGTGGGAGAAGTACGACACCGAGCGCGGCCGAACATACGAGCCGAGACCGCAATACAAGCACTTTTACTGTAACATTTCTAACTAAAATAACGTTCATGTATCACAAAAAGTCCTTAAACTGACAGTTTTCAAGTTTATACTTACATTTATATGCGCAATCCTCTCCGACAGCTCCCGCTTCACTGTCCGCCATTGTTTTTAAGTTTTTCTGCCGGCCGGCCCGCAAGGCATCTTGGGAAATGCTACCTATTGAAGGATACACCGGACCCATCCTTCATTCAGGCGAAAAGAAGGCCGCATTCGTCGACCGCATTTGAAGGAGTCTTCGAAATGGGACAGGCCGAGTCGCGGCGCTGTGACGTAACCGGCCGACGAATCCGGCCGAGGTAGGATGCAGACCCTGAATTGAGACACAGCCACAGTGACAGGACACACTGTCACAGATGCATGACATTCTGTCTCAATCGGTCCCCCTGCTGATATTCTGCATTCCGTACTCTTCTTCCTGTCAGTGCTCCTGTGCTTTTGCCTTTGTTATGTTTTTTCTTCTATTTTCCATTTTGGTCTGTTTTCTTCCCTTTAAACATTTTCCATTGTTTCTCCTTTTCTGCTTCCTTTTGATGTTTACATCGAAAAACGACGTCCCGTTTGGAAGTGAAGATAAACACTTTTTTAAAGCAAGCTGCTTCTTTCTCTTATTGGAGCCACTACGATAACTCTATTTCATGTTTAATGATTTGACTACCGCTTCGAGTTTGTTACGAACGCTCCCGCCTCTCTTCTTCTTATTATTTGTGGTCTTATGGCACTTGGCAAACAACAATTTGGTGCATTACTGCCACCAACTGGACTGGAGTGGAATGACTACCAATCACTTCCTGTTTGTGAATCGAGTTTTAAAGGAATGGTCCACTATGGTATTAACAGAGGGGTGCCAGCAGTCAAGAATAGGGGCCCCCCAACATAAGGGGGCCCCAGGCGGCCGCTGACCTATGCCTAATGATAAAACCACCACTGAGTGTACGTGCGCGCGTGTGTGTGTGTGCATGTGGGGGGTCTTGTTCTGTGTGAAAACGAAGCAGTACAAGTGATAATGCTGCAGGATTTCATAATTGTATCTTCTCAGCAGCAGCACTGCAGGTGCTCTCAATGTCCAACATGTGCGTAAGCCAGGTCCTTAGTCAACTTAAAGTTGTGCACGTTTTTCCACTAAGTTTTCTTTCATAAATCCCAAAGTTTGCGTGGAAAGTTGCTTACACAATTTCCTCCACATCTACTGTGATTTATTTTCAACAAAACTGTTTCAGCTGATTCACATTTAGTAATAAAACGTAAGGCAGAGGACAGAGGAAAGGATAAACCTCCAACCTTATTTTAAGATTTTCAACAAAAAAAATGCAGCAAAGCTAAATAAGTGTGTGATGGTAAGTTCTACCATCTCACCAGCTGCGGTGCGAAGAGTTTGCCTAAAAAGGCCAATTTTACATCAAATACTTCTTCATAATCACAAAGTTTATGTGGAAATTCCCTTTTGCAATTTTTAGTTTTGCGGGTAAGCATGCATTATAATGAGGCCTCTGTGAGCACACAGAGTGCTGAGCAGGTCTGAAAACCGGTTTGATTTGTTGAACTTATTCATCCTAAAGATAATGGTTGTATTGAATTAGCTCCTAGCCTAGCTCTAGTGGATGTAGCCAGAGCCCTAAACACTTTCATTACACATTAATAGATTATTTCCTCCATGTCACATTCTTGTTCTGGCTTTACTTCTCCCATCAGAGTTATTGAGGAGTTTGATGGAGTACGCCTGGTGTGGTCACTGCTAAAAGTCCCCAATGAAGATGTTCAGGCTAGTGCTGCTTGGGCCCTTTCCTCATGCATTAACAATGCAAAGGTACAGTATTGCTCACGCCCACGTTTACCAACATTTACTAACTTGTTATGAATGACATCACACATTTCACAGCGCCACTGTAGCAGGGCCCGCCCACATCTGCGTTCCTCAGAGGGGGGTGTCTATACAACCTGGCTGTGCGGGGACGTGCCATCCCCACCCGACCCAGGCCAAGCAGACCAGTGTAAAAGTGGCTTTTGGTGATGGACAGGTTGATAGATGATAATACAGAGGAGTCTTCATGGATTGTGATGTTTGCAGATGACCGTAATCTGCAGTGAGAGTAGGGTGGATGTAGAGGAGAAGCCAGAGAGGTGGAGATGTGCACTGAACATCCATGTGTATAAATGAGAGGGACATAAGTGGAACGGTAGAGGACTTTAAGGACTGAGGGTCTACGGCCCAAAGCTACAGAAAGGGTGGAAAAGAGGTGAAGAAGAGTGTGAAGCAGGATGGAATGGGTGGAGAAATGAGTCAGATGTGATCTGTGATAAAGGGGGTTCAGGTGTAAAAGCAGCCATGTTTGGTTTAGAGACAGCGTCCATGAGGACAAGTCAGGAGGCAGAACTGGAGGTAGCAGAGCTCAAGATGTTGAGGTTCTCTTTGGGAGTGACGAGGTCAGACAGGATCAGGAATCCATCAGAGGGACAGCTGATGTTACATGTTTTAGAGTAAAAAGTTAGCGAGGACAGACTCAGATGGTTTGGACATGTCCAGAGGAGAGACAATGATTACATAGAAGGATGCTGAGGTTGGAGTCACCAGGCAGGTGGCTGAGAGGAAGACCAACAAGGAGATGTATGGATGGAAGTGGACATGAAGTTAGAAACGTGAGAGTGAAGGATGCAGAAGACAGGGAGACTGATGACGGGTTGTACAGACATGTACAGATCATCTCCACACACATACACTGATCATCAGGCAGTTTGTTGTGTGCATTCGCTCCACATTTTTACAGAAGAGGCTTCACAGATCCATGAGCCGACCAGAAGAGGAAGATTTAGAGGTGTGGATCTTCACCAGTCCATTACGATTATTGGCTCAACGATAAAATCCATCACGAAGATTTCATTTGGATTTGTTTTCATCGATAAATAGAAGATATTTGCTTTGTTAATCAAAAACATGTCCGACACATCATGGCATTCCCTAAAAGCAAAAACAGTTCTTAGGATGATGGAAAAACATTTTAGACATTTAAGATTTAACTCGAAGAAGAAGAAGAAGAGGAAGAAGAAGAAAATATCTTTTCTATAGCGCCTCTCAAGATAAAAATCACGAGGCACTTCACAAAAACAAAAAATGTCAAAATATCAAGAACTATTTAGAAAATGGTTAAAAATATATTTAAAATGAGCAAAAAATAGACAATTGTGATTAGAAAATGTTAAGAAAGAGAGAGAGTGAATAGGAAAGAGGGAAATCAGTGCATCCTGAGGAAGGTGGAATAGGTGGGGAGAGCAGAATAAAGAGAGAGTGGTGAAGAAGGTCATACAAAAGCCAGCTTGAACAAGTGAGTCTTCAGCTGCTTTTTAAAGGAGACCACTGAGTCCACTGATCTCAGGCTCAGGGGGAGAGAGTTCCAGAGTCTGGGGGCCACAGCAGCAGATGATCTGTCACCTTTGGTCTTTAGCCTGGTGCTGCACAACCAGTAGGCTTTGATCACTGGACCTCAGGGACCTGCTGGGGGTGTAGGGACTAAGAAGATCACCAATGTAAGATGGTGCTTGTCCATGTAAGGCCCTATAGACCAGAACCAGGATCTTGAAATGAACCCTGAAGTTGACTGGCAGCCAGTGAAGCTGGAGGAGAAGCGGGGTGATGTGGGTGTGTTTGGAGGACTTGGTCAGAAGCCGAGCACAGGCATTCTGAACCACCTGTAGACGGTTCAGGGAGGTTCTGCTCAGACACGTGAAAAGAGAGTTACAGTAGTCTAAGCGTGAGGAGATGAAGGTGTGGACAACTGTCTCAAAATCAGAGCGGGACAGAATGGGACTCAGCTTAGCAATGTTCCTGAGATGGAAGAAGGAAGAGCGAACAAGAGAACTTACATGAGAATCCAGGGTGAGAGCTGGGTCAAAGGTCACACCAGGATTCCTGACGGAGGGTTTGGTGTGAGAAGCAAGCTGACCAAGAGAGTCTCTGACTTTGGGAACCAGCTTGTCTGGGGCACAGATGAGGATCTCAGTTTTATCTTCATTCAGCTGAAGAAAGGTAAAACCATCTCAGGCTGTGGGAGAAACCTGCTCTGCAGATGCTAACAAAATCTATAAAGATATTAAAAGCCTAGAGGACATGTCCAATTCTTGCCTTTAGTTCAGGTTATAAAATCCATAAGGGGTCCATATATTAGCTTCTTATGCCTTTGATCAAGTGTGTAAAAAATAAGTAACACCAAATGAAACGTTTGGCTTTGTCTGTTATTTAGTTTGAACCCAATGGTCTCATTTCAGAAATGCTGGAGCATGGACCAAATTGTGTTGATAAAACTGGTTTCACTTGGTGTCTTCTAAATGTGGTTTTCCAGGAACACTACTCAGAGCAGCTCGGCCCGACTACTGTTCCCAAGGGCACCGTTTGGTATTTTCCCTCTACTTTCTCCCCTATTTTTAGTCACTGCTCCGTTGAGGTACCTGACAATGCTGAGTCGGGCAACATCGTGATTCTGGCCGCTGATTGGACTGAATTGAATTGAATTGATTGGCTAAGGGGCGGAGTCACTGGTTTCTTGGTTTCTGTTTCACTGCCTGCAGCCATTTCCTGATTCAGAGTCTGACTACAAGGCTTAAAACTGAGCTAAATGTCCAACAACATCCAAATTTTTCAGCTTAGTTGTGTTTCTGTGGAGCATACAGGTTCCCTTTGACTGTTTACTGATCCCCTCACGTTATTTTTTCACGAGTAAAAATCCAACAAGATGGTGACAACTCATTTGAAACGGCTTTTACATCAATTTTAGAATGAATCAGCAGCAGATAGATGTATTTAAGTCATTTTTTTAGAAAAAAGGATGTATTTTCACCTTCTTCAGCAGCGGACCGCTTCGTTTACCGATATCCGTTGCAGTGAGTACGTCACAGTGTTCATTGTCCAGCAGCAAGCAGCGATCATTCTAAAGACAACGGTAGAACCCGCCCCGTGACCGAGAGCCGTCAATGGATCGATGCCAGACTAAATTATATATTATATTATATATGATTATATATAAATTATTTATTTAGTCTGGCTTGCCAGGCTAGCCTGGATCATCACTTGCAGTAAAACTTCATACCACATCACCTGAAAGGATGGCTCCCAGTACAATACCACAACTAAAGCTTTCCACCACCACGCTCCTGCTTGTTTCTGGGATCTTTTACATTCCCCCTACACTCTCCGTCCAGCTGCTCAGCACCAAGATTAATGGAACTCCCCCCCCCAACCCCCACCCCCCACCCCCACCCCCCATAAACATAACACCACATTCAAATTCACCTGTTTAAACTTGTATGCTCACTCTATTCAGAAAGCGCTCACTACACCTGTTCATAGGTTTATAAGTTGATTTTACTACTGTGAATGATGTTGCTTCTTTATTCTTAAGTCCTGTTTTTAATCATCTGTGAACCATGGGTGATCTGAAAGTTGCCATCAAATCAAATGTAATATTATTGTTATAGAACTGTCTGTGTTTGTGTTTTTTGCTGAGCACCAACTAATGAATGCTCTTTGGTGACAGGATGCAGCAGAAATAGTGAAATCCCTCATCAGTGGATTATATGCCATCATTGACTTACTGAATTCACCAAACAACACGGTGCTGGCAAGCGTTTGTGCCGTCATCTCTGCCATAGCCAAGGACAAAGAGAACCTAGGAGCGCTCTCTTCTATGGGTCTTGTTCCATCACTGGCCCGGCTGGCTGACACAGTAAGAACATGCCTCTGCACTAGGCAAACAAACTTCCTCCTAGAACACTAGATTGATGATAAAAATACAATAGCTTGTTGTATACCAGTATATTAAATTTACCTCCCTCTTTATTAACTCACAGAGGCTACTAGCAGCCCCTTGCCGGTTCTTTTGTGTGTACCTGCTGACTGATTCTGTTCTACAGGCTGATGATCAGCTTCGACGCTATCTTGCTGAAGCCATCGGACGCTGCTGTAATTTTGACCCCAATATTGCAGCCTTTGGTGAGGCTGGAGTCATCGTCCCGTTGGTGACCTACTTAAAGCAGTCTGAAGACATTTCAGTCCATCACTATGCCGCCATGGCCCTGTCCGAGTTGTCCTGGGATCCCAAGAACCTCGTCACCATGCACAAGGCAGGAGTAGTTAAGGTTAGGTTCAAGTCCGTTACAGTCCTTAGAAATGCTTTTTGGTTGATAATTCACAAAGGCTCTTCATGTAATATCTGTGCTTCATAATGACTATGTTTACATGCAGCCAATATCCGGGTTATGATCGGGTTAAGGTCGGTATTCGGGTTTCTGAGTTGATCAGAATAACCCGTTTACAAGCATAAATAGAAAGAGTTACCCCTAACTTGCATAACCCGATTTAAATGCGGACGTTGGGGTAGCGTCAGGACGTATGGACTACGTCCAGACGCAACATGCCTCATTTCCGGTTCTTCTTGTTCCGGTATCCGTGAAAACAACAACATGTTTCCCAGTTCGGAAGAGATAGCGACCGCGTTTGTTTGTGCTTTAGTTTCCTCGTCACTCCAAAAGTGTGGTGCTGTGCCGCGACTCGCCATGTTGCTCCCAACTTGTTGTTTACTTCCGGTGTTCTGGCGCATACAAGACGTCTCACTACTCAAAAGACCAAGATTCCTTGCGAACAGAGCATGCGCAGAACACATGCTTTGATGGGGATATCCCGATATGCGTTTACACGACCAAACATTCGGGTTAGAAAAGGGTTACCCCAGGTGTAGTAACCGGGTTTTTAAAAACCCGGTTATGAGCATATCCGGGTTTTTGGCGGTGTTTACATGGACCTGCGGAACTGGGTTATTGTGAATATTCGGGTTTTAAAAGGGTTACTGGCTGCATGTAAACACACTCAATCTAGCTGGATTTACATTGAAGAAAATGTGTTTGAGTGAAAACAGACTGCAAAATTCAATGTCAGTGTGCAGCACATGCAGTACGTTTACATGCAGCCAATATCCGGGTTATGATCGGGTTAAGGTCGGTATTCGGGTTTCTGAGTTGATCAGAATAACCCGTTTACAAGCATAAATAGAAAGAGTTACCTCTAACTTGCATAACCCGATTTAAATGCGGACGTTGGGGTAGCGTCAGGACGTATGGACTACGTCCAGACGCAATATGCGTCATTTCCGGTTCTTCTCATTCCAGTATCCGTGAAAACAACAACATTTTTCCCAGTTCGGAAGATATAGCGACCGCGTTTCTTTGCGCTTTAGTTTCCTCGTCACTCAAAGTGTGGTGCTGTGCCGCGACTCGCCATTTTGCTCCCAACTTGTTGTTTACTTCTGGTGTTCTGGTGCATACAAGACGTCTCGCTACTCAAAAGACAAAGATTCCTTGCGAACAGAGCATGCGCAGAACACACGCTTTGATGGGGATATCCCGGTATGCGTTTACACGACCAAACATTCGGGTTAGAAAAGGGTTACCCCAGGTGTAGTAACCGGGTTTTTAAAAACCCGGTTATGAGCATATCCGGGTTTTTGGAGGTGTTTACAAGGACCTGCGGAACTGGGTTATTGTGAATATTCGGGTTTTAAAAGGGTTACTGGCTGCATGTAAACGCACTGATGGACAAGTTGTTGCTTTCTGCTTCCTGCTCCCTCTCAGCATCAGATTCACTAAGCAAACAGCTCTACATACATGCTAGAGCAAACACACCTGTGAAGAGCAGCAGGTTGGAGAAGTAGCTCCATAGTTGTTAGAGTTTGAGTGTGCACTCAGGAAAGAAGTGAAAGTGATAGTTTCTCAGAGTGAGCTGCAGGTCTGATGGGACCTGTGTCACGCTACACCTTTCAGAGCAATGGTAACAACAATATACGATCATGTTTTGCCATTGGCACGACTGAGATGTCATTTTATGTATAACATATGTAAAGAAAATTGTCTGGCTCAGCCATATTGTAAGGAGAAACTGTCTTTACTCAGTTATATTGTAGCATTGTGGTTTTATGCTCTTTTATGAAAGAGGAACTATGCTACGTATTAATTCGGAATATTAATTTTTAATAAATCAATAACCAAATTTTATATTGTTAAGAAGACTCAAAGGTTGTTTTCATCGATAAACTGACGATAATATCTGTGTGTCTGTGTTTCAGTTCAATGAGGAAACCAGTTTGACAATTAAAAGTTTTAATTCTTCAAATTAAACTAATGATTTTGAAATTGACAAACATGGGAATAACAATCAACATTGGCAACTTGTGGGACAATCTTTAACAGTTGATATGATCAAATAGACCTTGTGGTGAATTTATGAAGATTGAGAATGTTGTGATATGAATGCGTGTGTGAGTCTGATTTTGCTTCAGGAAGAACAGGTGTCTGAGTGAAGTGATGGTTTGGATAAACTTAGGTCTTATCAGAGAACTGCATCAAACGCTAAACACCGTGTTCTGTCTCACCGAACTCTTGTGGGCCCTCTTTCGGATCCGGGCCGTGGAGGATGGTGGTGGTTCATCCAGATGACACTCAACGGCTGACAGGGGAGACGTAGGTGTCGAACGGAACCGGTCCAGAGTTGCCCTCGGTACACGTTGATGGTAAAGCGTTTTGTCGATGCGCTTTCTTAAGTTAATTCACTCAGAAATCAAAGGACTCGAGGCGAGTCCGCGTTAGTTGTTGCAGTTCAGCTATTCTGTCTGGCTGACAGGAACAGCGTGAGAGGGGGGGAGAACGAGCCAACCGGCTCCCCCCTTTTAGCGTTTACTCAGGTCCTCTCTCTTTCGTTGACAAGCACGAACTGAAATCATAAGACTGAAACTTACCAAAAACCTTTCTCTTCTCAAAGCAAACGTGTGCGTCATCAAATGTGTTTTGGAGTTTACTGTGAGAATTTGTGTGTGGGTGTGTGTGAGTGTTTGTGTGCTTGAGTGTGTGTGAAGGTCAGTACCAAACATTCTCAACCTTAACATTTAATTAGGAATGGATTAATTAAATCTCTTATAATTACCCAAAGCATAATAGTCATTCATTTGATTAAAACACATTTATAATGAGCAAATTGATGATTAAACTTTTAACATTCAAAACAAGAAAAGGAAGTTTAAACTTTATGTTTTGACTTGTTCTGGGTACAACTCATGGAAACACGTCTTCTGGACGCTGCAGGTGGCAGATGTTATGGTTTCCTCCCAGACTCGCTGGCGTTCAGGTCTTAATCTGTGGGTGAAAGTTCTCAACGACCCAGCTTTGACCCAGCTGAGTCCAACACCACCTTTGTGACAGAAAACCCACACTTCCTCACGTTACACATATATTAGCCATTACTTCAATCCAGAAATAACACACTTGGATTCAATGACCCCCCATTTGAATTCCTCAATAGTACACAGCTGCAGACTCAAAGAATGCCGATTCATTCCTAAATGCCCCACTCTGCAATAGTAGTCAGCTTTTGCAATAGCTTAAGCCTGAGCCATGCTTCTGCATCTGTGTCAGTGCGGAGACACGCAACACCATTATCTGTCCTTGCGTTGGCCCCCCGGCAGGCAAGCAAGTATGTATGGAGTTGAGCCCACTTTTCCTAACATCTGTCCAACGAGACGGAGAACGCATGCTTGTGATTGGTCGGCCCGGGCACCCGAGATCACTTCCGTCATGACACCATTTCCCTTAAATTTGTTGGTTGCACAAGTCCTGACCTGTTGTCTGCCTAGACCTGTTTAGCGGACAGACATCCCACCCACGCTGCTGTCTCCTTTTAAGCTCTCGCTGGTATTTCAGCAAGATAAGCATTTCTTCGTCTAGATCACATAGTTCCAACTCGATCAAACTTCTCTTTCTCGTGTTGCTTTCCATTTTTCAGACTGCAGAAGTGATTTCCAAGGAAATAGTAAGATGTCACTGTACTGCTACCTACACTACGCCCTCTGTTGTCCTGGTGGAGAATTGCTTTGCAACACCCCTTCAGCAAACGGGGAAGTATGAGAGCAAAACGCTTCCGTCGATCCGTGTGTGTCCGTCCCTTGTGGAGCTGACGCAGAAGCATGACTCAGGCTTTGGCAGAGCTGATGGGAAAATGCAGCTGAGGCAGGGAAATGAAAGAGTTAAGCCAAAAATCGCTTTGAGGTGATTTTCCTGAGGAAATAACAATATGGCATTGTCAAAAGCTCCAAAAGGTGGATTCTGCATGATATAGTCCCTTTAATGGAAGAACAAAGTCACTTGTGAAGTCAGGAGCTTGATCACATTTCGGCTTCGACCAAGACCTAACATTTCAACACCACTAGATGTTTAGATTCTTTTAAATCATCGATGATCTTTTAATTTTTTACGTCAAAATCATTTGCATATGATGTTCCTGCTCATAGTAACCACTATCCTGTGCACTCCCACAGCCGATGACCACATTCATGGCCTCTGATGACGAGGAGCTCCAGATGTTTGCAGCTAAATGTGTGGAGCACATTCGTCTGCTGGCCAGTTAGGAGGCTAGGATGTCCTTCCCCTGAGTGTCGTTTGCATAAAAGAAGCTCATATAAAATGTTTCAGCTTAATTGATGCATGTATGTTGGTTTTTTCATTCGGACCTGCTGGTTTACGTCTGTAACTGCACTCTGAGTTCTGTAGTACTTCAGTAACAAAGGATGAATATGAACTAAACTTTTACCACAGCTGACTTCTCAGGAAACACTGACTACAGGCTGAAGAACAACAAAAAGAATTCAGCATTTTGACTGAAACTGTTTTCCTTTTGTAGTTGATCGTGAAGGTTCCTTCCATGAAAGTGTTTGGACCAATGAAATAAAGACGATGTTCAAATTCACCTCCAGATGAAACTTTCAGCTAAACTGTGTTCTTTACTGAAAACATGCCCACAAGGATATCTGTAATGCAGCTACTCTAGATTTCTGCTAAATAAACAACTCAGAAATAGAAAGATGTGTGTGTTACTTGTTCAGAGAAGAATTCAGATTGCATTTTCTCACACCTGTGTAAAAAATCAACTATGATTGTTGCATAAAATGTCCCAGCTTCCATTTTTGAGTCCCTCGTGGAGTTACGTAAAACTAATGGTGGGACAAAATACCGATTTGGCCAAATATTGCAATATTTCAACCCATGAATGAGTCCTAGTGCGCCCTTTTGTCACGATGTGGAGGGAAGGTGAGGGAGGAAGAGCGGATCCTTCAGGCAGGTGAATCAACCCAGGCCAAACAGCAGCAGACATTTGGTTCCTTTTAATGGTCAGGAGTGCAGACACGACAGGGTAGACGGATGTGAACAAAAACTGACATGTAACGAGTACGAACCGACAAAACCACAAGCAACACACAAGGCTTATATACACACTGGGATGGGTAATCAGGTAACAAGAGGCAGGTGGACACAATTAAGGAAAAACTCAAGGCACAGGGGAGCAATAATGTGACACCTTTCCCTGTATGAGGCTCTCCAGACGTCATGATCACAGGAAGCCAAAGAGTCGTAGCTCCCTTTGAATTCAGATATTATCTAGCCGTGAGATGCAGCCAGGGTCTGCTAATTAGACGTTTCATGTCTGAGGTGTTCGGTGGCTCTTGAAAGAGCTGTTGTGTTTGAAATCACTCACAAGCATTGCAGAGGCTTTGACCTTCGGGTCAAAAGAGAGGATGGTTCACTGGTCGGCCGAACGAGGAGGCAGCGGGAGAACTAACTAGATTAGGAAGTGATTCCTGTATTTATCAAATGTTGTTTACAAATTCTAGACAAATCAGAATTCACCCCTTCACTCAGATACTTAGGGGTTAGTTCTGAGTTTTGAAGTCAAAATGTTAAGTTATGTGGAGCAAAAATGTTAAACATTAATAATAACCTTATGATGTATGAATATACTGATAGATTAAATTACTAGAATCAACAAATACTGATCTGGTGTAGTTTAAGGTCTGAAATGAATCATTGCTTTTCTTGTTTGGAGACCGGATGTGATGCGTCCCCGGATGTGTGATGCAGTTTGTGTCTGGAAATTAAAACTTAACTTCTGGTCATTTTTGATGAAATACTTGGCCTTTTTGTATGCTACACCGGGTTTTAGTCCTTGTTTGCATGCAGTGATTAGCTAAATTAAGATTTTGTCTGGGATTTTATTGTTCTGGTACTCAACTTTTTATGATGCATCACTTGTTATTTTAATGTTTGTTTTTCAGCGCTTTGGCTGTCTCGGTTGGGAGCATCAACATATATACTGGACAACGTGTTTCCATAGACTCCAATTATGTGTTTTTGAGCCTAAATGGAAGGTGGTCACCACCGCCATTTTGACCGTGTCACAGGTTCCGTCAAACCTAGACAATTCCAAAAAAGGGAAAAGAGGTGGAGCTGAGGGTGGGGCTGTAAGGCTGGGATCAAATGACGACACCCGTCGAACTGAAGCAATGTAGCTACAAGCTAACCCAAAGCTAACGCGGAGGTGGGAGCTAAGCTAACAGAGGTAGCTACCTAGCTACAACCGGAGTTAACTGTGCACAACCCCGGAGCTTCTGAGTCAGAGATACTGTACGCTGGGCTGACCGCTGGGTAAAACCGGGTGGAACACGGAGGTCTCCTGAGAGCTCCACAAGCCGGCAGCCGCACAGTAGGATAAGTCAGTGTTAGCAAATCATATTACTGTTCAGTCAAACCATATATTGATCTTGTTTATTCAAGACATAATTGTAAAACAAAATAAAAAATCACAATTAATGAGTAAAGAAATAATCAGATTAAAAAAAAATACATATGTTTCTGCTGCTCACCATTTAAAATAATTTCTTTGACCCCATCTGGCCACCCCTATCAAAAATTTCTGGAGGCTCCCCTGTCAAGAGATGCACGGAGCTGCAGCTGAGGGGAGGGGGACCATACCGATAGTCGGAACCCAGCTCCACCAACATGTTATATTTCAACCCATTTTCTAAAATGCAGCATTATGTTAACTGCACTGGGTTTTACCCTATTACTTTTACATTTCATGGTTAAACAGTACATGTTAAAATCTAAGCTCAGCTAGTGCAAGAGTGGCAGTGACCTAAAACGCATAAATATAATTTTACTTACTGAAAAAAATGAAGTGGAGACTCCTTGGACGATCTATTAATGCAATTAATACCACAGCAAGTCATTTTGTCCAACAATTGCACAAATAATATCCCAAAAAGAACGCAGAAACGCTACAACTAATGGTCTAAGTTGAGAGACTGAAAATGATGGAACAGTTTTAAGGCGAGGCCGAGGCTCAGACTGAGGCCTTTCACCGGAGCTAGCTCTGCGGTCACGTGGGTCTGATGCTCAGGAATTATTCAGAATTTTAGGCTTTTAATACACTTAAACAGAAGTTGTAATGTTCTGTTCTCAAACTTATGAATAATTCTTAGACCGCTTCATGAACCACCATTTCACTTTATTTACCGCTCGTCGGAACCACCTAACCACTCCCACTTCCGGTAGCAACTACGGCAAACACGCAGGACAATAGTATGGCATGCAAACATTATGAACAATACAACATCTCCCTTTTTTTTTTTTTTTTTTTAAAGTCCGCCAGTGACATAGCTAGTATGCATTTAGAATGGAACATCTTGAATATGAAAGCACGAAACAGCCTGCTCAACAAGGTAATATGTCAAGTTACTGCGACTTAAACTAACAATAACAATGCAACACAGGATATGAACACATTGGTACATCCGCTTGACATTTTTTTTTTATTTTTATTTTAGGGCAGCGATCCGCCTACACCCTTTACAATCACAGGTCTAGAATGACCCTTGGTTTGACCACTCGTCCTGATCTGGTGGTCAGGGTAGAGCTAGTGTCCCTGGTTGGTGTTGTAATGCCTCTGGATGTCGACAGGGGCTCTGCTTGCTGTTGAGCTGCACTATCTGGCTGGGTTACCAGATCGGATGTTGGTGCTGGAGGGGCCGCTTTGGTGCCTCTCAGGTGCCGTAGGTTACGCCGTATAGTCTGTCCTTCGCCAGTGCGGATCAGGAAAGAGCGGGCGGTCTCTGCAGGTTGGATGATGACAGCCAGTTTCCAGTTTCCAGACTCGTGCTGAAAACGAATGTGGTCACCGTGCTGCAGCCTCGGTAGTGGTGTGGCGCTGCGATTGTAGTAGTGCCTCTGACGCTCTTGCCTTTCCATCCGTGTTTTTTGCACGGCCGTCTGGCTTATGATGCGAGGCGACAGCTGGTGTCCCGTGATGGGAATCACTGAACGCAGACGTCGACTCATGAGGAGCTGCGCAGGTGATTTGAAGCCGTCGACTGGCGTGTTCCTTTGCTCCAACATAGACAGGTATGGATCAACTCCCTGTGCATGAGCTTTATCCAGAACTGATTTGGCTGTTTGAACTGTTCTTTCAGCAAGGCCGTTGCTTTGTGGGTACAAAGGGCTTGAGGTTGTGTGGACTAAGTCCCATGTGACTGCAAAATCCTTGAACTCTCGACAGCTATACTGTGGTCCGTTATCCGAGACAAACTTCTCTGGTATGCCATGCCTGGCGAATATGGCCTTGAGCTTTTTGATGACGGACCCTGCGGTGGTAGTGAATAGCCTTTCAACCTCGAAGTAGCGACTGTAATAGTCCACAACTACTAAGTAGTCCCGTCCACGCCATGTGAATAGATCTGAGGCCACGACCTGCCATGGTCTCTCAGGGATCTGGTGTGGAATGAGAGGTTCTTTGGGATTCGCTGCGCGCCGCTCCTGACATATGGAACAGTTTTCCACCGTGGCAGTTATATCTCTGCCCATGCCTGGCCTTGCTCTCTGCTTACTCCTCTCAATCCCCATGTGCCCAGTGTGGATTCGCTCCAGCATATTGTTTCTTAGGGCTGTGGGCACTATGATTTTGTCACCTTTAAAGATGATGCCATGGAAATGCGAAATTTCATCTCGGAAATTCCAGAAGTCCAACAGGGTTTTGGGGCATTTTTTTCTGTCCTCAGGCCAACCATCCTGCACGGTTTGCCTCAGCAGGGTGAGCTGCGGGTCGCATCTTGTTGCAGCCTGTATCTCTGAGAGTTTTTTGTCACTTACTGGGAGGCTGTTTATCACTGAGTGGATCTGATCTTCCATGCCTTCGCTCAGCGTGGTCTTGGTCGAGCAATGGTTTCCTGGACAGTGTGTCGGCCACAGGTATGTCTTTTCCGGGCCGGTGCACGATCTTTATGTCGTATCTCTGCAGCTGTAACAGCATGCGCTGCAGACGAGCAGGGGCTACAGAGATCGGCTTCTTCAGTATGTGCTCCAACGGCTTGTGGTCTGACTCAACAATGACTCTTCTGCCGTATATGTAGGTGTGGAAACGCTTGCATCCAAACAACACCGCAAAGAGCTCCTTTTCAATCTGTGCGTAGTTAACCTCTGTTGGGGTCAGTGTCTTTGAAGCATATGCTATTGGGTGTCCGTCCTGCATCAACACAGCTCCCAAACCATACTTCGATGCATCTACCTGTAGCCGTATCTCCTTGGTTGTGTCGTAGTATGCCAGTATGGGGCCTGGTTCTCTGGTTACGAGGTCTTTCATTTGCTGGAAGACTCTGTCGTGATTCTGATCCCATATGAACTCCGAATCTTGCTTTAGCAGCTGACGCAGTGGTGCATTTACTTCTGATAGCCGTGGTGCAAATCTGGACAGGTAATTAGCCATTCCCAGAATTGTCTCGAGCTCGTTCTTGTTCTCAGGAGGTGGCATGTCTTTTATGGCCTGCAGTTTCTTTGGGTCTGGCTGGATGCCCTCGCGGGTGAGTTTGTGTCCAAAGTAACTAACCTCTGTGGCTCCTATGACACATTTCTCTGGATTGAGATGCACTCCTCGCTCCCTTGTGCGCTCGAGCATGGCACGGAGGTTGTCGTCGTGTTCCTCCTTTGTCCTGCCAAACACGAGGATGTCATCCACGATGGCTACCACCCCATTGAGCCCTTCATATGTCTCATCGATTTTCCTTTGGAAAATGTCCTGTGCTGATATTATCCCAAAAGGAAGGCGCAGAAAGCGGTACCTGCCAAAGATCGTGTTGAATGTGGTGAGGAGCGATGACTTGGTGGTTAACTGGATGGCCCAATAGCCGGAGCGAGCATCCATGACACTAAAGTACTGAGCTCCTGCAAGCTTTGGTGTGATGTCATCCAGTGTTGGAAGAGGGTAATGGGGTCTTTTGATGGCTTTGTTTAACTCTCGAGGATCAAGGCACACTCTGAGATTCCCATTACGTTTCTCTGCGACCACCAGTCCGTTTACCCATTCAGTGGGTTCTTTAACTTTGATGATTATGCCGTTTTTCTCCATGTCGTCCAGCTCCTGTTTCAGTCGTTCCCGCAGTGTGAAAGGGATTCTCCGTGGGGGGCACACGACGGGCGTGGCGTCCGGGTCAATGTGTAAGTCGCATTCTCCTGGGAATTTCCCTATGCCTTTAAACACATCAGCAAACTCCTCCATGACGCCTGTGATCTGCACTGACAAGACCAGCTTGACTAGGTTTAAATCTAGGCATGCTCTCAACCCTAGGATGGGAGGTGCTGCAGTTTCTACTATATCAAAGGTCAGCATCTTGTGAATGTCTTTCCATCTGCACTTCAACTGGCAGGTGCCTTTGATGTTGAGTTTTTCACCTCCATAGCCAGATAGTGTGCGTGTGGGCGGTGCCAAGCTGACCTGCTTGAAACGTTTCTTAAACAATCGGGCAGGGATGACGTTAGCAGTGGCTCCTGTGTCAAGCTTAAATCTCACGGTGTGATGACATGAGCCTATTTCTACGTCAGCGTAAGCCTGTTCATCAGCCTCCCCTTCATTGCACTTTGTTATGGAATCTATGAATAGCTCTGCTTCCTCGCTTGGAGTGTCAGGGTTGATGGAACACACCGGGTTGCGTTGGTTTGGTGCTTCTGAACGGCATGCTTTGGCAAAGTGGTTCATTTTATTGCACTTTTTGCACCTCCTCCCTTTTGCAGGGCACTCCTCCTTCTGACTGTGTGCTCATGCACATCTTCCACACACTTTTCCCATGTTATTGTGATGAGGTGCCCTCCTATGTTTCTGCTGCGTACTCTGGCGCTTAGTGGATACTGCATGCGCAGACGCTGCTCCCTGCAGGTTTGTGTGTGGGTCGACCATGGCTTTCAATTGGGTTTGTGCGATCTCATACGAGCGTGCCATGTCTATGGCTTTTTCTAGGGTTAAATCTGACCCTTGACTCAGCAGTTTTTCTCTGACTTGTGGGAAACTGGTTGCAAAGACAATCCTGTCACGGACCATTTCATCACTGTTCTCATAGCCGCACTGCTTGACGAGTAGCTTTAACTCCGTCACAAAGTGTTCAAATGACTCCCCTTCACCTTGGAGCCTTTCGTTAAACTTGTATCTGGCAAAAATGGTGTTCGTTTTAGGCATGAGGTACTGTTCAAACCTGTCGAGGTAGGTGGTCAGCTCTTTAGCTTCCTCCTCAGATAGCTGCTATGTGTTATAAATGTATCTGCCTTTCTCCTACCCACAGAAGGAGATAGCTGCACTGGGTGTCCTCGGACTTGCCGCTTAGCGGGCCGCTAAACATTAGCTTCACATGTTGTACGAACCTCAGCCAGGCATCGGGAAGATTAGCTGAATCCCAGTCCATCCGTGGTGCAGGAACCCCTGACGAATCCATTTTTCGCGCTGACAGTGGGCGTTTAGTTCGATTTACTCTGACACCATGTAATGTTCTGTTCTCAAACTTATAAATAATTCTTAGACCGCTTCATGAACCACCATTTCACTTTATTTACCGCTCGTCGGAACCACCTAACCACTCCCACTTCCGGTAGCAACTACGGCAAACACGCAGGACAATAGTATGGCATGCAAACATTATGAACAATACAACAGAAGTGACAAAAAATTCACCCCCCTCAGAGTTTTCATGAGTGTAAACTAGATCTACTAAACCTAAAACATGTTTTGGAACCAGACTGCAAACATGTTTATTTCTGCTGTGATATTGGGATTTTTAACATGGGAGTAAATGAGGATTTGCTCGCTTCTGACACCAGCCCCTAGTGGATGAGGGTGGAACTGCAATTCATTTCACTTCCGCATTGGCCTCACTTCCAGACCCGAATTGTGGGGGCTTGGTTGGCAGCAGGAAGGCGCTCTATAAACAAATGAAATGAAATGAAACAGAGCACAAAGTCCTAAAAAATCTTTTATTTTGTTCCATGACTATCATCAACTGTTTCAGTCACTGCCTAAAACACAACCAAAAGAGTGAATCTGAAATATGGAGTAAATTCACACGCCATCCCTTTTATAGAAATAACTTACAGATCTGACCAAAGGGAATACAAAAAACCCTGATGTTACCTTAAAACAAAGAAATAATTTATCGTAAAATCTTGGGATGAGGGGTTTTACCTGAACATCAGATTCCCCTTAAAAAGGTCTGTTTGCTTCCTAAAGCATGGCCTCGCTGAGGCCAGCACCACATCATTGGTTAGTTTTTAGGTTATGCACTGCAGCTTGAGCCCAAAAACAATAGCTTAGCTTAGCGTTAAACTGGAAATACAAAAGCATATCTCAGTTTGAAGCTTAGATAGTAACTTGATGTTTCATAAACATGTTTATAATTCTGTAGATCATCATGTTCGCTTCAGACGACCAAACCTGGGGAAAAAGAAGTTAAACTCTCCAAATCAATCTCAACGAAGAATGTGAGTCAGACAACAAAATCCTAATGTTTAGAAAATCAGGAGCATGTGTGTAAGTGTGGTGGAGCCACCGAGACCCATACACACAACTAGAGCCGCTCTGGGACACCTCTATAACAGAGTAGGAGAAACAAAATTAGAAGAAAATAACTTTTTACATGATCTGAAAGGAAAAAAAAAACAAGTTGTGATGATAAACTTAAACCTCTTCGGTGAAAACAGATTTTTCTACAATAAAAATAGAAAACCAGGTTCCTTCAGGTTTCATGGTCCTGAATATTATAAAATATTTTGTTTAAAAAGAAAATGACCATTGCTCTCAAACTGCCTGGCAGTGTTCAACTGGTGTAAAAGTGGAGGAAGCTCAGAATGTCAGACGTGTGTCATGTCGTCTCTCTGCTGTGTTTCTGAACAATAACTTAAACCAGGGTCTTCAACTAGATTTGGGTCAGAGTTTATTCCAGCAGACGCTGAGGGCCAGGTGCTCTTCTCAAATAAATGTCATTTATTATTGTATTTTAATATTCTATATATTAGTGCTCATTCCAAATTTCAGTTTTTTTAAACATTTGTCAGCGTTTATGTTCATATTTCCTTTACTAACCCAAACCACTAGGGGACGACCGTGATTTATTAGGCTTTATATTTGTGAAGCAGTTCTGCTCTCCATTCACGTCATGTTTCAAGCATGCTGTTTGCCAACAACTGCTTAATTATGGTTCCAAGTCCGAAGGACAGGCAACCCTATTGTTGCTGTCCAGGTTTTTCATTAAATGTTTATAATAATAATAATAATAATAATAACAATAATAAATTATTATTATTATTCTCTGCTAATGTTACGTGAGCGCAGAGTCAGAGAATGCCAGGAAAATTCTGACCTGGCAGTCACAACTGCTACTCTGATTCAAAAAGTCATGCCCGGAAGCAAAGGTCAATGCGTTTTAGTGAAAAACTCCTAAACCACACCCAAATACTCGATATTTCTTTGATCCTTGGATGAGTTAGCTTTCGACATTTTAACTATCAATCAATAGGCCTAACCCCCCATACCTCCCCCCACCCACCACCAAATCTTAACAGTTCCTTTATTGATAGATTATTTTGCATCACTTGATCAAGACTGTGCACATTTTTGCTTAACTAGATCTTTTGCTATTTAGCATGAAATGTAAAACTTAGTTTTAGGGTTAGCAGAATTAACTTGACACGTGATGCATATGATGTATGGACATGTAATGAGGAAAATTACAAATATATAGAAAATTGTGCAAACAACAACGCCTAAATCACTGTGCTAGCTAGCGCACAACGTAAGTGACTAAACCTCCACCATTTTTCAAGATTAAAAAATGAGATTGTGGAAAGAAATATGTTAGCCACGTGTGTCAACTTTTGTTCAGATTCACCAATAGGAGCACTAAATCGTTTTAGCAGTTTAATGGCTTTCCACGAAACCTGGCACATGGTAATAATCACATCCTAGAGCCATGGTGTGAAACTGGCTCAAAAGTGGGAGTGGCTTATAGGCCTTCATTGTTTTGCCCTAGTTGAGTCATTGAAATTAAATGATCTCATTATAAAAGTGGAGATGACCAATAGATGTGTAATTATTAGAGAAGTTATGGATTTTATATGAATTTAGTTGTGAGTGAGAGTGTTTATTATCCTGTTTACACCAAGGTTGTGAAATCTACACAGCACTAAAGCTTTTAGATAAACGTGTGGACATGACCAGAATGGAATTTGAATTTTTTTTGATACATTTGCCAATGAGGTGATGCTGGTATACCCACAAAGTTTTTTTCTGACACAAAATATTCTCCTGCATGTTTATTTAATCATGCCGGTTGAAGTGAGATTGTTAGCTGAATGAATGCAGGTGGGAGAGGGTGTAGGAGGGGCGGGGCCAGGTAAAGAATGGCGGAGGCAGGGGCGGGGCCGAGTTGGCGCTGGTTGGCTTGGAACTCGTTCTAGTTCTAGTCCTTAGTTAATTTTCTCCAAGGGAGCGTTTCATGTAACTTTACTTATTCAACTTGTTTCCTCCCCTAATTATAATTCCTTTAGTTGACTCTGCCTATCAACCTTGTAAATAGTTTATTTGTTGTGTTGTTTTTGTGGAGACACCGTAATTATGCGCTCTAATAGTAAAAAGGGCAAAAGAGGAGATTGTAAAACTGCTGCTAATTAATACAAAAATGTTGAATGACAGCTGAGTTTGTAGTCCTTTCTGATAAAAGTCTGTTTATCAGTTTGTTTAATCTTATGAAGAAAGAAAGTAGGTCATGCTTTTTTTCTGTTCAGGATTCAGTAATAATGAGAGGGCCGGGCGGAAAGGTCTGACAGGCCAGGTGGGGCCCGCGGGTCGCCAGTTGACATTCACTGCTGTAAATGCTTCAGCGGGTCTCTCAGATATCCTTCGCTGTCCTGCAGATCTACTGCAGTGACCTAAATACGGAGATGCACTATGATGGTCCACGCCCCTGAAACCCTCAGAGTCCAACCAGATCACAGCTGATCCCAGGGCAACGCTCTGAGCTCCGTTTCACGCTGGCCTCCAAGCACCAGTCCAAGCTGATGTTCAGCTACTAAAATTCTTCAGAGGAGGTCTTAGGAGTGAGTCCAGCAGACTGGAACCCAGTGAGTCTGTGTCTCTACCTTCTTCAGCGCCAGCAGCAGCTCATTGAAGGCTGTGGAGAGGTCATCGTTGACTATCACCTTATCAAACAAATAACCATACTGACTCTCCATCGTCTGGGCAGTGTTCATCATGTCCTGGAAGTCCTCCTCCTGCAGAGTGAATAACAGGCTGTAAACACCAGATGAAAAGGGAAAGCAACAGAAGATTTGGAAATGCTACCGTCGTATGATCACTAGTAAACGTCTTTTCTAGACCGGGTAGGTGGATGGGCGGATTCCTGCTACCCTAACAGCAAACTGGGACGCATTACTACCAATGCTGACATCCGGGGAGCAAAACGAAATGGTGGCGGACGATTTGATGGGAATTATTCGATTCACTCAGTAACACACATTAGTACGGCATATCACGCCCTCGACACCTTTAACTCAATCACTTAAGTCGTCATTGGCATTTTTTACTGTTTGAGCATCGGAACGAGCCCCTGCGCTGAGAGAACAAACACCTCAGCCCTGAAGCCGTTCTTCATCCGCATACGTCACAGATCACATGATCAGGAAGCAACACATCCATGTGTATGATCGTTTTGGGCCGTTCCTGTAAAAAAAGTGAGGCGCAAACCGGAAAAGCTTCTGCCGATCACAATTCGACAACGGATTATGAAAGAACGGACAACGCTCGAAACACGAGGCTTCTTCCTGATGTAAGAGGTGAGTCTCCGCTTTGTTTTGGTTGTTTTGGCGTCGACATCATGCTAGCGCGCAACGTTCTGTGACTCTTAAAAAAAAAAACAGTAAAAACAGTGAGAAACGCTGGCAGTGAATGAGTTAATCACAGTTGTGGGTCACATGATGTGTAATGTAGGACTCCACCACCATAAAGATAGCCCTACTCAGACGCTACGTTCCAGTTCTTATCCTCTTCACTGAGCTGGGAGCACAGAAACCCATGACGTCACTACAAAATCGCCCCCCCCCCAGGACCGGGCTTCGTCCGATTACAACCAGAACAGCTCTTAGGTCCGAGTCCCTGCTTTATTATGAAGATGATTAAGCTGGGATGGAACACATTCCCGCCTCGCATCAGCTTCGACTGGGCCCTCAGGATGGAACAATGTGCCCGGGAGGCCACAGTCTCACCCAGGATGAGATTATTCAGCAAGTGAGGCTTTGACTGCCACCTGCACTTCCCTGGTGGACCAGGATGGCATCTCCTTTCTCATGCTCTTCCAACATGAGCTGAGATGCTAGATGTGGAGTGGTCCACCCCACCTCCTGCCCAGGAAGCTTTGTGGTATGGAGAAGGGAATCGGCCAGTCGAAGGAGACCGTGGTCTGAGGTTAACTTTAGAGAAAAATGCCTTTGAGAAGTACTCTGTCTCAACAACATGTGGAGAAGAATGTCATCAATCAAACGTGCGGGGAGAAGTACTTTCCCATCAGTGAAGTGTTAAAATGTCAAGCCTCGTGGTTTTAATGTTACATACTGGCCTAAATGTTTTATTATTATTACTGAGGCAATCCAAATCGTGACGAGGTCATCAAACACAACACATTTACACAGGCTGGTTAGACAACATGCTGCTGGCTCATTAGTGATCAGAATAGAGATGCCAGCAGGTGTAGGAGAGCTAGTCCACACCACAGGAGGGATAACTGCTAATAACAGACAATCAATGTTGTTATTTAAAAATAAAACCTTTGAATCATCAGCCATTAGGGACGCCGGTGTGTAGCAAATGTTTTCTTGTGCAGAGCACCACGGCTGAAGCATGACTAATCGTTTCTTACCGTGAAAGACTTAGCGGAGCCTTTGTCATCTTTGCTCGATATGATTTTGGCCGATTTCCTAGTCTCCCTCAACCTGTCGATGGTCGGAGGTTTCACAAACACAACAAAAGGCTTCATCTCAGCGGTCCGCAGATGCTTTATGGTCTGAGACAAGATTAAACATGACAATTAAGACTTTTCTCCAACTGAAAGCAATTTAATCAAAAGAAAGCAAAGAGAATGGGATTTATTTCCAATGACTGAGCAGAAAATTGTGTCCGCTCTTTAAATGAAGTTTGCTCCCAACGTGCAGCAAGTTTGTTATTATAGGTTCAACAAAATGAGCTGCATTTATAACTCGTATGAGGTGGAAGGATGAGGTTTACTCGGCTCAGTTTATGAAAAATGGTTTAATACTGGACCTAAAGTTTTTCATCAGCATGACATGATGACTGGTCATATGATGGTTTGTTATATTTAGGAGGGACACAAATGAGACAATATAGACACATCTGTTCCAGTTCTATATTAATAACTCAGTAGAAACTCTCAATAGATCACTCACATGAGGTTGGACGTCCAATAAACAAACTTTGTTCTTGGAGAGGACAGACCGGACCGAGTCCAGACTGGTCCCGTAGTAATTTCCTTTGTATTCACCGTACTCAATGAACCTGGGAGGTGAAAAGAGGTGGATGAGCTGGCTGCTAAGCTAAACACATGGTCTGCTGTTGAGGTGTGAAAGGGTTGCAACACTGTGCTTTGGGACTTGGCATAAAATCTGATACCAATACAGTTGATTGTGTCAGAACACACTTGAGTTTCATCTAAATAATAATAATAATTCAAGGAGGTGGAGAGGGTTTTGTTCCAATGTAAAACTAATCATCTAATCAGTCACACCTATTTGTCCCAGAAAAACAATAAAGCCCAGCAATGTCCAAAGCTTCCATGCTTCAACAACAGCACAAGTACGCTGTGATATCAGACAATCGTCTCCCGGCTCTACGGAGTACCTAAAAGAAAGTAAGTGCGTTAAAGGTGGATGTAACGAGGAGCAGGAGGGTCTGAACACAACTGGCACAATCCTGTTTACTCTGGATTTTCTAGGATACGTTTTTTGGAGACATAGTCTCTACTTTCTTTGTTATGCAAATGACTGTCAAATTTATGCTGTCCGGATAAAGAAAGATGTGTTCCCTGGGAACTCATTACTGACATGCTGGAAGAATGCTAAATCTCGGATTGCCCTGAAATTTCTTTGTTGAAATTATTAAGTGTCCGCCCTGTAACCAGAGAGTTGCTGGTTTGTGTCCAACCTGTGGCAGTCATTGCGTCCTTGGGCAAGACCCACTTTGCCTGCTGGTGGTGGTGGGAGGGGCTGATGTGAACAGCAGCCTCGCCTATGTCAGTGCACCTCAGGGCAGCTGTGAGGTTCATGACTGGGGAGGCACCGACTGCTCTGGAGTCACACTTACAAATACATGATCCCAAAATAAAAGCTTGTTTATATTTTTGACCTTGAAATAAATATTTTGTTGTTTTAAATCTTCTTGGTCATGGTTTAATTAACTTCATACAATTCAACAAAACAATAGCAAGAAAAGTAAAATAATATTTAATATTGGGGCAAATGTGACTTAAAATGTATTCACTGTTCCAGGTATAACTATTTTATTGCACTTGAAAATCGAGTGTGGTCTCACCTTTATGTGTTTATGAAGTCCATACATCTGACATCTCCATCATCTAATATCTCCTGTTCTGACTGCGCGTCCAGTTTAAATAAACCAGATTTTTTTTATTTGGTTTTATTTACTTTTGTGCCCTTCACATCTTTTTCATCCTTTTAGAACTTCTAGATCTCTCAGATCAGGTGACAAACTTCTGAGGACTTGTCGGAAGCTCAGAGGTGATCAAGCCTTTGCTAATTTATGGAATCAGCTACCTTTGCATTTTAGTCAGGCTCCCTCTAAATCTGTTTTAAATTGCTTTTAAAGACACACTTGTTAACACTGACCTGTAGCACAGCATGATTTGTTCAAATTTTGACCAGTTTTTCTTTTTTTATATCTTTGTATTTTATGTGATTTTATTTTATTTTATCTGCTTTTATACTGTAGTACACTGGTCAAATTGGCGGTGTTTATACATCACAAATAAATAAAAATGAGTTGAGTTGAGATTTTGGCTTGAGCACATGTCTCATTCACATACTTGCTGTTGTGGATGTCTGTCTCAAAGAGATGTCTGGAGATGAAGTGGTACTCCACACCGTCGGTCTCATGGGTCCTCTTGGCCCGACTGGTGTCTGACAAAGATAAGGAGGACACAGAGTGAGGAGTCACCATTTACAAGGAATCCTGACTTGTGCTTCTCTTGCTTCTGGGCTTCTACTCACTGTCAGGCAGAGTTAGAGAACTGTGAAGTGGATTTGGGACAAGGGAATTTGGATTGAGTCATTCAGGATTTTGAATTTTAAAAAACATTCAATCTCTGAGCCTTCCTCAGCTGGGAGGCAGCTGTAAAAATAATTTTCCTAACATTCTTCAGTGTGTTTCTGTGTAAAAGTTATGAATAATCACTATCTTACATTTTGCAGATCTAGCTTCCTGAATAGCCTTTGCTCAGAGAAATGGTTTAAAACCAGCAGGACTGATGAGCTAAGTACCCATGAGAAGATAAACTACACTGTTCACAAGAATTAAAGGAACACTTTTTTTACTGGGCCTGGCATGAAATCAGTTAAACCTGTCTGATAATTTCCTGGTTGATTAAGCAGCTGAGGGCATTGTTAATCACTTTCAGCTGTATTGGTGTTCACGGACTTAAGGACAGGTGGCAACAATTACAACCCCTCAAAACAGGAATGGTTTAACATGTAGAGGTTATTTCAACTTTATCCCTCTTGATCTTTTTCGGCTGGTTTTCCACTCGTCCTAGTTTTGGCTCTCTACTGGCAGTATGAGGCGATTCCTTAACCCTACAGAAGTTGCACAGGTTGTCCAACTTCTCCAGGATGGCACATCCACACGTGCTGCAGCAAGAAGGTTTAATGCGTCTCCCAGCACAATCTCCAGAACATGGAGGAGACTTAAGGAGACTGGCAGTTATTCTCGGAGAGCCGGACAGGGCCGTAGAAGGTCCACAACCAATCACCAGGACCGATACCTGCTCCTTTGTGCAAGACGGAACAGGCTGAGCACTGCTCGTGCCCTACAGAATGACCTCCTGAGGGCCACTGGTGTGAACGTCTCTACCCAAACAATCAGGAACAGACTTCATGAAGATGGCCTGAGGGCCCGACGTCCTGTAGTGGGCCCTGTGCTCACTGCCCAGCACCTTAGAGCTCGACTGGCATTTGCTCAAGAACACCAGAATTGGCAAGTCCGCCACTGGCGCCCTGTACTTTTACAGACCAGAGCAGGTTCACCCTGAGCACCTGTGGTAGACGTGAAAGAGTCTGGAGAAGACAAGGAGAACGTTATGCTGCCTGCAACGTCGTTCAACATGACAGGTTTGGTGGTGGGTCAGTGATGGTCTGGGGAGGCATATCCATGGAGGGACGCACAGACCTTTACTGCATAGGAAATGGTGCTCTGACTGCCATAAGGTATCGAGATGAAATCCTTGAACCCTTTGTCAGACCCTACGCTGATGCAGTAGGTCCTGGTTTTCTCCTAATGCACGACGATGCCCGGCCTCATGTGGCAAGAGTATGCAGGCAGTACCTGGAGGATGAAGGAATTGAAACAATTGAATGGCCTTTACGATCCCTTGACTTAAACCCAATAGAACATCTGTGGGACATTATGTTTCGGTCCATTAGGCGGCTCCAGGTTGCTCCTCAGACTGTACAAGAGCTCAGGGATGCCCTCACACAAATCTGGGAGGAAATGCCACAAGACACCATCTGTTGTCGCATCAGGAGCATACCCCGACGTCAAGCATGCACACGAGCTCGTGGGGGCCACACAAGATACTGAAAAGCAATTTGAGTTGCAGAAATTAAGTTTTTGAAATAATGGACTAGGCTGCCACATCTTCATTTCACTCTGATTTTAGGGTGTCTACACAACTCAGCCCTCTGTAGGCTGATAACTTATATTTCCATTAAAAGACTTGGCATCCTTGTGTTCCTAAGACATTGCCCTGTCGTTATTTGTATAGATATCCAACTTCATATTGAGATCTGATGTATCTAATGTGTTTCTTTAAAGTGTTCCTTTAATTTTTGTGAGCAGTGTAGATAAATTGCACTTCTTGCAGAAATGCTGTTTGAATGCTGGATAGCTTAAACTGTTAGCTGAATCAGCTTAATAGCTGAACTGAAGCTGAAAGTAAGCAAAACTGTCAAAATGAGCTGAATGTGTTGAAAGATGTAGAAGCAAAAATCACTAACAAGCAAATAAAGCACAAAAAGTAAGTGAAGAATGGAGAAAAATAATCCTAAATAGCAAAAAACTGAAATCTGTGAACATTGTATAAAAATCTGGACTGCTAAAATATCTAAACACCTGTTATTTCAGTTGGACAAGTTTAACAGTTTAATCTTTACATTTAGCGGAACTGTGAAATTAGCAGTTTATGCTAAATTTGGTGACTGATTGCTGAAGTTGTTGAATAGCTGAAGTGAAGCTGAAACTAAGCTAAACTGGCAAATCAAAGTCAAAGTCAGTTTAATTGTCAATTCTGCCACATGAACAGGACATACAGAGAAATGAAATTACGTTACTCTCGCTGGATAGAAAGTAAACATTTAGTATAAAAAGAGTAACCAAGTTCAGAGAGACTGTGGGGGAAAAGAGAGGAAAGGGGGGAGAGCCGGGAGGGAGTTTAGCTTCCTAACTGCCTGATGGATAAAGCTGTCCTTCAGTCAGTTGGTCCTGGCCTTGAGACTCCGCAGTCTCCTCCCTGACGGCAGCAGCTCGAAGAGGCTTTGCATTGGGTGAATGGGATCAGCCGCAATGCGAAGGACCTTTTTTGTGAGGCGGGTGCTGTAAATGTCTGGTAGGGAGGGGAGAGAGATCCCAATGATCTTCTCTGCTGCTCTCACTATACATTGGAGGGTTTTAAGGCAGGTAACATTGCAGGCTCCGAACCACACAGTGATGCCGCACGACAGGATGCTCTCGATGGTGCCTCTGTAGAAAGTGTACAGGATGGGGGCTGGTGCTCTTGCTCTTCTTAGTTTGCGGAGGAAGAAGAGATGCTTCTGTGATTTCCTAGCCAATGCTATGGTGTTGTTTGTCCAGGAGAGATCCGCTGTAATGTGCACACCCAGGAACTTGGTGCTGCTCATTCTCTCCACAGACACACCGTCGATGGTCAGAGGAGCATGCTGAGTGTGTGCTCTCCTGAAGTCCACAACAATCTCCTTGGTCTTCACCACATTTAGAGAAAGGTTGTTGTCAGCACACCATGTGGTAAGGCGGCTCACCTCGTTCCTGTAGTCGGTCTCATCCCCGTAGTTTATGAGACCCACCACTGTTGTGTCATCCGCAAACTTGATGATGAGGTTAGAGATGTGTAATGGTGTACAGTCGTGGGTCAGCAGAGTGAAGAGGAGGGGGCTCAGCACACATCCCTGAGGGGCCCCCGTGTTTGAAATGATGGTGCTGGATGTGTTTCTGCCGACCCGAACTGCTTGTGGTCTTCCAGTGAGGAAGTCCAACAGCCAGTTACAGAGTGAGGTGTTAAGACCCAGCTTGACCAGTTTTTGAGTAAGCTGTTGGGGGATGATGGTGTTGAATGCTGAACTAAAGTCTATGAACAGCATTCGGACATGAGTCTTTTTTGTCCAGATGTGTGCGTGCTGAGTGGAGTGCAGTGGAGATGGCGTCAACGGTCGAGCGGTTGGGCCGGTATGCAAACTGGAAGGGGTCCAGGCAGGGGGGCAGAACAGACTTGATGTGTTGCATGACTAACTGTTCGAAGCACTTCATAAGGATGGGAGTAAGTGCAACAGGATGGTAGTCATTAAAGCAGGAGGGAGATGATTTTTTTGGGACCGGAATAATTGATGTGGCTTTAAAGCACGTGGGGACGACAGCCTGGATAAGTGATGTGTTGAAGATGTCTGTGAAGACATCAGTTAGTTCCACTGCACAGTCTCTCAGTGCCCGGCCAGGAATATTATCAGGACCCGGAACTTTACGTGCATTGATCCTGCTAAGGGATCTCCTTACGCTGTCCGGGGACAGAGTCATCAACTGGTCACCAGGAGGAGGTGGAATCTTCTGTGCTGTGGCACCGTTTTGCACTTCAAAGCGAGCAAAAAAGGTGTTCCGCTCGTTCAGCAGGGAGATGGTGCTATCACAGGTCTGTGGAGGGGGCTTGTAATCTATGATGGTCTGAATGCCCCAACACAAGCTTCGTGTGTCTCTGCTGTCTTTGAAGTGTCGGGATATTTTCCTGGAGTACTGTCTCTTAGCCTCTCTGATACCATGGGAAAGGCTGGCCCTAGCTGTCCTCAGGCTCATCTCGTCTCCTTTCCTGAACGCAATATCTCGCTCCTTCAGCAGCCTGTGGACCTCTCCTGTCATCCATGGTTTTTGATTTGCACGGACAGTTATGGTTTTAGTTATTGTTACATCCTCAATGCGTTTCTTGATGTAGGCTGTAACAGTCTCTGCATACTCCTGGAGATCAGTGGTGTTATTGTGGGTGGCAGCCTGCTTAAACATGTTCCAGTCCGTGGAGCTAAAACAGTCCTGTAAAGCCTCTGAAAACCCTTCTGGCCACACTTGTATTTGCTTACAAACCGGTTTGGTGACTTTAACGAGTGGTCTGTAAGCAGGCATTAGCATGACAGTAATGTGGTCTGAGGCACCAAGGTGGGAGAGGGGGAGAGCTTTGTAAGCTCCTCTCTGGGTGGTGTAAACACAGTCCAGTGTGTTATTTCCTCTTGTTGGAAAGTCAATGTGTTTATGTATTTTTGGAAACATGCACATTAGGTCTGCATGGTTGAAATCCCCAGCCAAGATGAGAAAGGCATCAGGATAGGCTGTCTGCTGCTCGCTGATGCGCTGGTACAGTTCATTCAGTGCCTCACTCCTGTTGTTGTCATTGGAGGAGGGAGGGATGTACACAGCACACAGTAGTATGGCTGAGTATTCCCTCGGTAGATAGAATGGCCAACACTTAATAACCATAAGCTCCAGTACAGGCGAGCAGTGTTTGCAGACCGCGACAGCATCGTGACACCAGGCGTCATTGACGTAAACACAGAGTCCAGCCCCGCGGGCCTTACTTCCCCCGACGATATCTCGGTCAGCATGGTAGCAGGTTAGCTGGTCGAGCTGAATGGCACGGTCCGGGACACTGTCACTGAGCCATGTTTCCGTCAATATAAAACACAACAGTCCTTTACATTCCTCTGAGATGAACGTAGTAATCGAATGTCGTCCAGTTTATTTCCTAGCGAGCGAACGTTGGCCAGGACGATGGAGAGGATAGAGGGTTTATGTGGGCTAGCAACTAGCCGCCGCGCTCTTTCCCCTCTTCTGCTTCCTCTCACGCTGCTTGAGGCGCCTCCTTTGTGGGCGAGGAGCAGGAGTGGTAGTCGGTGATTGAGTAGTCCTCCGGAACAGACCCAGATTTCTCAGCTCTACGGCGTCCGCAGAGTTTAACTTAAAAACATTGTTCCTGCCGATGTTGAGCAAAGATGTTCGGTCGTATACACGCTTGCAAACAGATAGGCGTGACATGGACATACCGAGAAAAAAAAGAGGAAAAGGAAAAAAAAAAGTTTGGGGAGGAGAGAGAGAGAAGCCGCTGCGTGTGCACGCGCCGCCAGCCAGGCAAAGGAGCTGAATGTTGTGAAAGATGTGAAAGCAAAAAGCACCAAAAAGTAAATAAAGCATAAGAAGTGAAGAATCAAGAAAACTAATCCTAAACAGCAGAAAATTGAAATCTGTGAACATTGTTTAAAAAACTGGACAGCCAAAATGTCTTAACACCTGTTGTTTCAGTAAGACTAGTTTAACAGTTTAATTTTTACATTTAGCTGAACTGTGAAATTAGCATCATATGCTGAATTCAGAAACTGATTGCTGAAGCTGCTGAATAGCTTAAGTGAAGCTGAAACTAAGCTAAACTGTCAAAATGAGCTGAATGTATTTAAAGATTTAGAAGCAAAAATCACCTACAAGTGTAATAAAGCTCAGAATATAGATGAAGAATGGACAAAAAATGCTAAACAGCAGAAAACTTTAATCTTTGAACACTGATTAAAAACTCGAAATTTGAAATGTTAAACAGTTGGCATTTGAATGAGAATAGTTTAATGGGTACATTTTTACAATTGGCTGAACTGTGAATTTAGAAACATTTGCTGATATCTGAAAAGAGATGAAGCCTTTAAATCTGTCCTTCAGAAGTGAAATTGGACCTGTCAAACTTCTCATCGCCATTCGAAAAGTACTGCACCGATTTGAAAAATTCAAAAAGCGTGAGCGGCAGAAGGCTTTGATGGTCATCTGTGTGAATTTTTATGTGCCTACCATGAATTTTCTAGAAGCTATGACGAGGACCGGAGCAGAAAATCTCTGTTCCTTTAACATGGGTTTCAGTGAGACAGAATCAGGGTCTCTACTCCTTCTGAGGCTTGTAGAGAAAGAACGGTAACACTTAAGGACAAAGTGAAACCCATTCTGAAAAGCTGACAAAAATTCCTACTTTTTGAGATATAATTTGTTTCGGTACTCCAAACGTTCTGGGTGTTGGATAGAGTTCTTTCCAGAAAATGTGAAGGTCAAAAGTTAGAGTGCGGAATTTTCAGTTTAGAGTGGCGAGAGACATTTTTTTAAATATAAATATTCTCAAACAAATGAACCGTACGACCACAATGTTTGGAGTACAGTCATGAATTATAGCTCAAAACGAAGGTATATCCGTTAGCTGCAAGCCAGCGTGCATCTCATTTCAATCGGTCTTACGGTTTTCCCAGGACAACCAGAATTGGTGCAAAGGAGGGTCACTGCTCCCATCTCTGCCCATTATAATTTTTGTGATTTTTCCTGAAAATCTCAAGCCATACCTCAACTTCTACCTGTGATTTTAGAAAAACTGTAATAGGTATCAAAAAGATTTTTTAACCAGTAATAGCTGAAAGTGTTTTGAGTTTGTTGAAACTTTAATGAAGTCTCTAGGTTAAAGTTAACCTATAAAAGTAAGAGTTCAAAAAAGTGATAGGATTTGGGTGAAAATTGAGCAATCCCATTCATTTCAATGGGACCAAAAATCGCAGAAAAAGCTGAATATCTCAAAAAGTAAAGCATATTTTAATAACAAAAGTCATTGCCGGCATAAGCTGAACGAGCTGAACGTTTTGATACCAAAATTGTGTAAATAGTTGAAGAATTTTGGAAGTAGTTTAATGCCAAAAAACGTACGGAAGCAGAAAAATAAACTACTAACTAATAACTATAAAGAGAAACAGGATCACTATAGTTTGAATGCTTTACAGAATAAAAACATCAATTCAGTAATTCAACTACACTGAGTCACCATTTAAAGGCTCAGGAACCCTTTGCAGGCATTTTCTATTTGCAATTATAACTTTTAGTTGATCTGGGTATAACACACAGTGATATTTGAATAATTATAAGTTTTTTTTATTAAAAGAACTTGAGATTACAGTAATAATATCCATGCTTTTCTGTCTCATTTTTTTAATTAAAAAAATTGTTTTGAGGGCACATTTTCCTGTACGATTAAAATGCCATTAATTTAGATTAATTAGTTACATTAATTAATTGGATGTTGTCATTGCCAATGGATACAGATACAAATTAAAGAGAAAGGGGGGAGAGGAAAGGAAGAAGTGGGGGAGGAAAGTTCACAAAAATAACAAATACAGGATGTACAAGAATCTGTTTCTCGACCTGCAGAAAGAGAGCGAGAAAATAAAAGAGGACACACCAAAATACAGCAGAACATCACTGTGCCAACAACATAAGAATAACAGTAAATTTTTTTTGCAAAGCACACGCTAATAATTCATTCAGGTGTATTTAGTTCCATCCACAGCCTTAGGTCAGGTGTCAAAATTGCCCAAGCACCTGTGTGAACACACGTGCCAGTGTATGTAAGGTTCCTGTACAGGAGTGTCCAATAGTGAGCGTGAGGGGCCATAGACCTGTCCCCAAAGGCCCAAGGAAGATGGAGGAGACCACCGCCAGAGATGCCCCACCCGTCACTTACAAGAGGCGCAGAGGACCACCCTGGGTGCAGCAGCCATGCCAGAGGCCCAGGAGATAACGGCAAGCTCCCAGCCACCCACTCCAGGGCAGGCCAAGCTCGGAACTCAGTGAGCCGGGACCCAAGGGTGCCCAGCCCCTGCATATACCTGACAGAGCCCAGCTGCCCGGGAGCCAGCAGCCCCAGACATGAGAGCTGCAAAGAAGCAGGCAAACTGAGCCAGCACCCACTAGCAGGAAATGTGGCAGGCATTGGGGAAATATAGCACTCAAAGATGTCCCAGGAGAGGGGAGGAGTCCAAGACCGTATCTGACAGTCACACACTCCCACCCTCATGCTTACACATAAACAAATTTCAGACACTTAAGATCAAACGAAAACAATCTTAACTCACGTGGAATGGTCACACTGTAATGCTGGGGGTCAGATATCAAAAACTTCCTCTTGAGTTCATTCAAGCCAACACCTGTGGGTCCTACATCAAACAAAAATACAAAATATGAAGACATATTTTCTGCTTGTAACTTAAGAACAAGACTTGGGGGGGGTCCGGTTGGGATCTGGCTATTAACCGTAAAGGGCGTCAATAGCCAGTTAAAGAAATTTTGGAAAACGTGCATAACCTAGTATTAAGTCTACTTTCTGTTCTTGGTAGGAGACTGTCGGTAAGTCAGTGCTTTCATCTGTGTTGCAAGTGTCATGCCAAGGTACATGCACTGCCTGGTCATATTTTGTTGGACCACCTTTAGCTTGGATAATGGCACATATTCACTGTGGCATTGTTTTGATAAGCTTCTGCAACGTCACCAGATTTATTTCCGCCCAGTATTGCATTAAAATTTCACCAAGATGATGGTAGAGTCTGACTGCTGCACAAAGCCTTCTCCAGCACATCCCAAAGGTTCTCAATGGGGTTAGGGTCTGGACTCTGTGGTGGCCAATCTATGTGTGAAAATAATGTTTCATGCTCCCTGAACCACTCTTTCATTATTTGGGCCCCATAAATCCTGACCTAGTCATCTCGGAATATGGCCCTTCCATCAGGGAAGATGGAATAACCTGGTCATTCAGTATATTCAGGTAGTCAGCTGACCTCATTCTTGGAGCACATCCTGTTGCTGAACCTAGACCTGGCCAACTGCAGCAAGCCCAAATCATAGCACTGCCCCATAGGCTTGTACAGTAGGCATTAGGCATGATGGGTGCATCTCTTCATCTGCCTCTCTTCTTACCCTGATGCACCATCACTCTGGAACTGGCTAAATCTAGATTCATCAGACCACATTACATTCTTCCATTGCTCCAGAGTCCAATCTTTATGCTCCTTAGCAATTTATAGCATTTTTCCAGTTTGCCTCACTGATTAGTGATTTTCTTACATCTACACACTTGTTCATTCCCAATCCCTTGAATTTATTTTGTGTTGTGGGAGGGGAAATGCTCTTAGTATCACTAACGCAGCCCTGAGTTCTGCTATTGTTTTTCTTTGATTTGATATTACCCCAACCTTTAAGTGATCACCAATCATGATTGTTCAGGAGTTTTTTTCTGGCCACATTTCTTCCTCAAAGACGATGGGCCCCTCGTTATCCTTCCAGTTTCTAGTAATGCGTTGTACAGTTCTTAACCCAGTATTAGTCATTTCTGCATCTCCTTAGATGTTTTCTCTGCTTGATGCATGCCAATGATCTGACCCTTCTCACACAGACTAACATATTTTCCACGACCACCAGATGTGTCTTTCCACATAGTTATTTAAGAAATGAGAAGCAGCTCATTGCACCAGTTGGGTTAAAGAATTTGTCACAGCTGAAAGATACATGCAGTAATAATCCAATAGGAGGCTTCTACCTGTTTAGTTAACCCAGGTGGATACTTTTTTGGGCCAAGCAGTGTATTTAACAATATATATGTGCAAGGGGTATTGGCAGGTACCACTAACTAAGCACTCAAAAGAGTTGATTGCCTTTCGGACCCCACTGGGCTTGTCCCAGTTCAAGGTCGTGTATTTTGAACTGCCTGGAGTCCCGGCAATTTTTCAGAGACTGATGGATCAGGTAATATCAGACATGTCTGATTTTGCTGCAGCTTACCTTGATGAATGTGTGTGCTGGTTGTTATCACTATAGGAACAATTCAGAGCGGGCCCGGAACAAATTACCTTTTAACCCATAAAGGTCATGTTAAAATGATTTTAGCTGTGGCTCCCTGTATTTGGTCCTAATATGATGTTACAGCGGTGGCAGAATGGCCATCTGTGAATTCTAGAGAAGAATGGTGTTGCCAGACAACTCAGACTAAAGCCTGGTTTATGCTTCTCCGTCAGCTCCGCAAGGGACAGACACGCACGGATTGACGGAAGCGTTTTGCCCTCATACTTCTCCGTCTCCTGGAGAGTGTTGCAAAGCAATTGCCCGGCAGGACAACAGAGGACGTAGCGCTGTTCTGTGGTATCCTGTCATGTATCGGTCCAAGATCGTGTGTTTATATTGTGTTTTTTGTGTATATAAGAGACTTTTAACACGGACATATTTGTCTCTCATTCTCCCACCTCTTCATGCGCTCCCCACCTCTAAACCCACGTTTCCTGTAATTTCCGTCCACAAATAAAACGCTTGCTGCGCATCTTTTCACTCCTCCAGTCACGGGAGGATGAAACGTTCTTTTAGAGTTTTTTCGCGAGGTATTCTTCAAGCTTCTCCGTGTCTGCAGCTAGTTATCCTCGGCTCTCTTTGCAATGGCGGCGCTGTAAACAACAGCGGCGTCCTGACCAATCACAAGCTTGCGTAATCCGTCTCGTTCGACGGATGTTTAAAAAAGTGGGCTCGACTCCGTACGTACTTGCGTGCCTGCCGGAGCCCTACGCATGGACGGATAATGGCGTTGCGTGTGCTCCGTACTGACGCAGACGGAGAAGCATAAATCAGGCTTAATAAAACAGGACCGCACAACTAGATTAATTTCAGCATCAAATTCAGTGCCAAATTCAATCTTTTCCCCAAGTTGTTGACGATGCTCTTCGAGGGCCAAGGTCAACACCAGAGGTGGTAGAATCTGACACACCTGGTAATGGGTCTTTCCCACTAACATCGGCTCTGCATGGTCTGCATAGCATAGAGTGTGTCCACATTAGAAGCATCCTTTCCAGGGGTGATGCTGAAAAACTAGTTCATGCATTTATTACATCAAGACTGGATTACTGTAATTCATCACTCTCAGGAAGTCCACAGAATGTAGTTAAAAGTCTTCAGCTTGTCCAAAATGCTGCAGCTAGAGTTCTGATGAGAATTAAAATGAGAGATCATATCTCTCCTGTCTTAGCTTCCCTACATTAGCTACCTGTTAAATTCAGAATAGATTTTAAGATCCTTCTTCTCGCATATAAAGCTCTTAATAATCAAGCTCCATCATACATCAGTGATCTGATTGTTCCATACGTTCCTAACCGAGCACTTCGCTCTCAGACTGCAGGTCTACTGGTGGTTCCCAGAATATCTAAACTTAGGATGGGAGGCAGATCTTTTAGTTATCAGGCTCCTCTCCTGTGGAACCAACTCCCAGCTTTAGTCCGTGAGGCAGACACCTTGTCTACTTTTAAGAATAGGCTCAAAACAGTGTTATTTGATAGGGCCTGTGGTTAAAATCTGATGTTATCCTAGATCTGGACAAGTGGGGGAGTAGAGGGAGGTGGAGTGTACAGTCGGTAAAGACGGCTCTCCCTTGCCCTGCCTCCAACATGCCTCCATCTAAAAGGCTAAGTTATCCAGAGTTATCTCTGTAGTTATGCTGCTATAGGCTTAGACTGCTGGAGGACATACTGACCACTTTTCACACTCGACTACTTTCTTCTACAATCTGCTCTTTAACTGTATTATTTCCTGCTATTTCAGCTGTTAACTTTATTTTTTCTCTAAGGCCCTGTCCACACGTAGCTGGGGATCTGCCAAAACGTAGATATTTTTCTACGTTTTGGCCTGTCATCCACACGAAAACGGAGTTTTTTCACACGAAAACGGATCTTTTTAAAAACTCCGGCCAAAGTGAAGATCTGCGTTTTCTCTGTTTTGGGTGTCTGCGTGTGGACAAACAAAACCGGAGTTTTAAGGTCCGCAACGTCACTTTCCGCGAGCTGTGTTTACACTAGCCGACAGCATGGAAGCCCTCAGAGCTGCGCTCGCTTTATCAATTGTCCAAGCGCTTTTTGCTCGCTTGTTTTTGCAAGTGGAATTACTGCTCATTGCGGAAGACCACAGACGAAGGATGAGGTTAAGAACGGGGGAAGTACTGCCGCCTACAGGTCTGGCATGTCCTTAACAACGTATTTATCGGGGTATGTGTGGACAGAGTTTTGTTTTAAAACGAGGTGGTGTGGATGCAAGTTTTTGGAGGGGCGGATATTCATTTTCAAAAAACCCGGCTACGTGTGGACTAGGCCTAAGTGTTTTTCTCCCCAGAGGAAGCTACAGTGATGTTCTGCTGAGCTGTGGTGGCCTCATGAAGGGTGCCATCGTCTAGCACACTGCTGCTAACCACTTAAACTTTCTCCCTCTCCTAATAACTTCTTGTTTCCTTGACGTTGGATGTGCTACTGCTAGTTTACCCGTTTAACAACAGATTCACTGGGATATCTCTCGCCAAATAAAATATTTACTAAGCAATCACGGTGTAACTATGGACACATTGCTTGGTGTGTGTGTGTGTGTGCTCTGTCTTCTCGATCCCCAGTGAGTCGTGGAGGATGGCTGCTTATACTGAGCCAGGATTCTGTGGAGGTTTCTTCCTGTTAAAATGGAGTTTTCCTCTCCACTGTTGCTATATGCTTGCTTAGTATGAGGATTGCTGTAAAGTCACCGACACTAGTCAGTGACTTGATGCAATTTGCTGGGTTCCTTATATAGGAAACATTTGTTTTGATTGGCTTAATGAACTGACCTGAATTGGAATGTTTATTATGTGAAGTGCCTTGAAATGACTCTTGTCGTTATTTGGCGCTATCTAAATAAAATTGAACTGAATTAGCACAACCTGCATTTTTTTTTCTGGGTGCAACTGGACTGTTTTTCAACCCTCTTCCAAAGGTGGTCTGCTTCAGGCTGACCAAGACCAACACATACAACACTGTACAGTTGTGCTGTACAGTACTTTGGTCTGCTCTTAAGCTGTGTTTAAACATGCTATATGAATAAAATGATATGGTATGGGTATGGTAGCTACAGGATACAGACTCTTGGGTTAAGGGCTTAATGACTTGTATTGAGGGCTAGGGTCTCTGTGGTATCAGGAGGAGTGTAACATAACCAATGTTTAGGCTTTCAGCTCCTACTTACCCACTAGAACCACCAGTCTGTGTTTAGCTCCCCTCTGTCTGCGGTAGGGGGCCACCTCTTCATAAGTGGGCACATCAGCCATGTCATACATTTCACTCTTTTTGGACTCATACATGGACTTGTTGGTTTTCTTGTCTCTCCTGCTTAGACGAAAACTTTTTCTGAAACCAGCTGGAGATCAGGATAACATGGAAGAGAAAACAATGTACTGAGTGAAATTTCTTATCAGGTATCCATTTATATTAGTGCATTCCAACACAACCATCAACTCATTATAGCGGTGTACCTTACGTAACACGAGTCTTGGCAAAGACCTTCATACAGCTCAATGAATAACACAATTCTTTTTGTTGTGGGTGAAAGACCAGCCATTTCCATTGGTTTTATTGGTCTGTGCTCAGTAACATACCAGTCCAGCTGCACAAAGCTTGATCTTTATGACCAAAGCAACATAACAAATTTGTCCTTGAATTACAGATTATACTTTGGTATTTATTCCACTTCACAGACTGTGGCCAACTGACTGTAAATCCTATAAAGTTTGTTTCATTTCTGAAATGTCACTTTATATGTGTCCCATATATTTAAGTGGATTTTTTTATAATAACAACCAATGATTTATAAGGGAAAATCCTGATGATTAACAAGGCTGCCCAAACTTTTGCATCCCGCTGTAGGTAGAAGGATGTTGCTGTTGGAGCCACCAGGCAGGAGGCTGAGGGGAAAACCAAAAAGGAGATTTATGGATGTTGTGAAAGGAGACATGGAGTTGGTTGGTATGAGGGTAGAGGATGCAGAAGATGGGACTGAATGCAAACAGATGATTGGCTGTGAAGGCCCCTGAAGGGACAAGACTACAGAGAATCAATAGGCGTCTGCTCCAGGTCATCTTAATCAGAACGTCCTACTAGCACATCAAGTCTCAAGTTAATAGTTAATCTGTTTGTATAAAATCTAAATCTTGTTCATGCAAAATAAAAGCTCAGGGTTTTTTCTAATGAAATTTGTATTACTGACATTAAGCAGTTTGCAATCCTGATCTTAAAGCCACACATTAACAAAATCACAAAGTGCTTCACGTAGATCAAAACAAATGTCATAAAATCATAATAAAAACTGTCATAACATTATAAAATACCATAAAACAAATGAAAGATTATAACAAATTTAAATTAAAAATAAGAAAATAAAATATTTAGGAAAAAGCAGCTTTAAATAAAAGAGTCTAGCTGTTTTTAACAAAAGTGTCCAGACTGTCAATACTACGTAAGGATAAAGGAAGATCATTCCAAAGTCGGGGTGCAACAGTCTGGAAGGAGTGATCACCTTGACTTTTATAATCTGGTCTTTGGAACTTCTAGAAGGTTCTGCTGTGTGAACCCGAGGGCTCGGGTTGGAGCATAAAGCCTGGTTTATACTTTTCTGTGAGCTCCGCAAAGGAGAGACGCACACAGAGTGTCGGAAAGTTTTTCACATTCGAACTTCTGTTCAGGAAGCGGATGTCGAAAAGCAATTCCCCACCAGGACAACAGAGGGCGTAACGCTTTTCTGTGGTATCCTGCCACCATAACACTCATTTATGTGGTCCACGATAGTGTATTTACTAATGTATTTATATATTTTGACTTTATAACATGGTCAAATTTGTCCTTCATTCTCCTCCATCCCTTCATGCGGTCGCCACCTCTAAACTCGCGTTTCCCGTCGTATCCATCCACGTTTGCTCCGTATTTTGTACTCCTTCACTCACAGGTGAATAAATGTTAATATTTTCAGACTTTTCCATGATGCGTTCTTCAATCTGTTCTGGATCTGCCGCAAAATATCGCTTTACCTTTTAACGGAGCTACAGCGGTGCTGGTGACGAATATACAGGAAGTGGTCTCCTGACCAATCACAAGCTTGCGGTCTCTGTCACTTTCGATGGTTGCTTAAAATTTTGGGCATGTCTCCATCACCCTTTGTGAGCCCGTCAGAGAACCTTTGCGCTGATGCATAATGGCGTTGTGTCACCGCACCGACACAGACGGAAAAGTATAAATCAGGCTTAAGGCTTTAACAGTTCAGTAATATGGGGAGGAGCTTGACCACGTAGAGCCCTGACAATTAGTCAGGATTCTAAAATGAACTCTAAAGTTAATGGGTAACCAGTGCAGAGACATTAGAATAGGAGTGATGTGTGCTCTTCTGTTTGCTCCCGTTAGGAGCCTCACTGCAGAGGGCAATGATCAGACATTCAGTCTTTTCAGAGTTTAACTGGAGGAAGTTAACTTCTAGCCAGCTGGTGTTAGCTGAAAGACACTCTAGTAATTCAGTTGATAGAACTCAGAATCATTAAAGGAGCAGTACAGCTGAATGTCATCTGCATATAGGTGATATGAGACATTATGAAAAATAATCAATTATCTGACCAAGAGGGTGTATGTACAGTAGAAACAACAGTGGACCCAAAACAGAGCCTTGGGGTACCCTACAGAACAGATGGGTAGAATCTGACATGATTTGGTTTATACAGACACTGTAACTTCTGTTAGAAAGGTACAATCTAAACCAGTCTAGACCAGTTCCAGAGATCTCCACCGAGCCACCAAATCTGTTAATTAAGGTGCTGTGATCAACAGTGTCAAAAGTTGCAGAAAGATCTAGCTATACTAACACTGTGAACTCCCCGTTGTCTGCAGCCATCATGATGTCACTGGAGACTTTAAGCAAAGCTGTTTCTGTTGAATGTTTTTTACAAAAACCAGACTGGAATCTGTCAAAGCTGTTGTGTGGTTGATCTGCCACAACCTTTTCCAATGTTTTAGAGATAAAGGGTCATTTAGAAATGGGTCTGTAATTATTAGGCTGAGATGAGTCCAAACTGGGTTTTTAATGATAGGTTCAACAACTACATGTTTGAAAACAGATGGTACAGAGCCAGATAGTAGAGATAAATTAATAAAAGCCACAATGCATGGGCCAATTTGGTCAAACGTCTTAACAAACAGGGTGTTTTTTTTCCCCTCCATCAACCTATCCTCATGTAATTCCTTTTCATCTATTAAGGTAGCGTGACTCATGTTGCGAATGACCGCAGTTACCAATTCTTGTCATGTGTCTTGCCCATGTATGTCTGATCTCTGAATTGTGTGTACTGACACTTAATTTCGTTTCTCTGTATGTCTTGCACATGAGGTAGAAATGACAATAAATGACTTTGATTGATTGGTAGGAATAATGTCATGAGTGCACGTGGTTGGTTTCATGCGCTTCTGAATGAGGCAAATGTCCTGAAAATTTACAGGAGTGAAGAAGGACCATGGTTGGGAAGAAGAGCAGACACACGATTAGGTTAAAGGTGAATAAAGTAGAAATTACATCCTGTGGTCAAAATGGGAGACTGCAGTCCTTGGAGGAAGGCAATGCAACTTTCCTACCAACACGATTGACATTAGACTGATTTGTGATTATTTCACTGTAGAATTATTACTTATTGCACCTTTAACTAATGCTACAGTAAGTTATTGAAAATACACACAGATACACAGTGTAATACTTTAGGTGATGTGTGTCAAACAAACACACATCACCTAAGCCTGAGCTTCAGTGTTAATACAGCAATGTAAATTTCCCACAAAGACGGAAGACAGAGAAAAATGACATCTCACCTATGTGGAATCCGCTAAAATAAGCAGCTTCTTCTGATGCAGAAAAAAGAAGCCAGAAGAAAGGCAGAACATCTTGTTAAAAAGAAGAAGCATGAAACAAACATCAACCTTTCTAACCACAGGAAAAAATGTACTGTAGTTAAAAACAAGTGTTGCATACAAGACATGCAATGAATTAGTTCACTTCTGCAGGATAATAGAATTAGCGGGTAGATGATGTAACTTTGTTAAAAGGGAGTATTTCTGTTGATGAGGAATAAGACACAAATACCCAATAAATACAGAGAGCAGAGGTGAGATGTAGCCGAATTATTGGGGGAGGGGGGTTTGAATGTGTACTACACATTTGGGCATTAAAGCAGTCAGGGATGTCAGACAGATCGTACCCTCAAACTCCTCATCTGTGAGCACCAAGTAATGGTTATAGTTAAATTAAAAAAACAAAGTTAGGTTGGGATAACGAGAGCAAGGCAATGAGGAGTAAACCTACCGGACTCCACAGCCACCTCGTCTTTGAAAGCAAAACAAAACAACAGACAATTAAAACCAGGATCTAATAGAACCAACCACAAAACCAAATGAGTCATGGTTAGGGATGGGTACCTTTGACATTTGAATCGATCCGGTACTAATTCCCGGTACCTACGAGTCGATACCAGTACTTAACGGTACCAATTTTCGATACTTTTGAGTGTTTATTATTTTAATTCTCTTTTATAATTAAATATATATTTTTCTCAATATGTAACCATATTTGATAAATATCACAATAAATAACATACAACTGTTTGTATTTTAACATTGTCCTTGTAGTTTTATAAGCTGATAATAAAACTGAAGCAAACATCTTTACTGTGAACAAAATTTACTGTGTATCTTCATTCCTTTTGCCGTCTTTTTTCATTTGATTTTTCCTACTGGGAAGTTAGAATTTCCGAGGAGAAAGCGAACGCACCATTAGCTGATAACAACGGTGGCAATGGAAGCTAACACATATCAAGCTAACGTTATCTTTAACAGTTTATTTAGCTGCTGGAGCAGATTAAAACGATGATGCCTCACACTTAGATCGTTTTCGCTGGTTTCATCTTCACCCAATCACCCGTCGCATTTAGTAAAGTAAAGCCAAACTTTAGAGCGCGTTCATGTTCTTCTAGTCGGAATTTCGGAGTTCCGAGGAGAAAGCGAACGCACCATTAGCGAAACGGAAGCTAACATATCAAGGTAATGTTATCTTAAACATTTTATTTACCTACCGGAGCAGATTAAGATGAGGATGTCTCACTTAGATCGTTGTCTGTCGCTGGTTTCATCATCACCCAGTTACCCATCACATTTAGTGAAGTGGACCCAAGCGTTAGCGTGCGTTCTTTCTACCATGCTGCTCTGTTTACAACTTGCTCTCAGGAGTCAGGGACCGACGACATAACGCTCTTGCGCATGCGCAGCTGTCTTGGCGAGTTCTCGTTATGAAGGATGGGTACCGAAACGAGGCACCGTTTGAAATGACGTGAATCGGTGCTCGGTCGGTACTATGGAATTCGGTCGGTACCTTAAAAAGTACCGAATTCAGTACTCATCCCTAGTCATGGTAGAAGGGAGTATCGTCTTCTCAGAGTTAGTTTTTTTTACCAGGTCATAATGATGATAGTGATCTAATATTTACCAAGTATTAGACAAATCAAATCTAGCATTACGTGGGGCTGGGCAACATGAACCAAAGCTTTTATCTCAATAGTTTTAGCTGAATTCTAACATACCATACATATCTGTAAAGTGGGCTGGTACGCACCGGTACACAAAACCGTCACTTCAAACTTTTACCTCTCAAGAGTACCGGGACTTGTCTTCCAGGGTACAGAGAGTACTGGCAGTTTCTCCGCTCATTAATTAGTTGAAATCTCCAAGATTTCTTCAAAAAATATATAAACTGTTCGTCTCCAGTAAACACCAGCCATCCACAGTCGCAAATGCGCAAAGGAGGTGCATCACTGCTGTGCAGCGTGCCGCACATATAGCACCATCAGCTCTCAACAGGACAGGCTACAAGAGGGGAAAAGATTAGACGCCGTGCACGTTCCTGCAATGACTGACAGCAGCGCCTGGCCAACCCGTGGTTTAATGCACTGACAGGCAGGTGGATCCATAAAGGTGGATGACATCCAATTAGCAGCAGCTCAAGAGGTAATCAGAGGGTTGTAGGATCGACCCTGGCTCCCGGAAGATAATAGTGCTGTTGTGTCCTTGGGCAAGACCCACCTGGCCCGCTGGTGGTGGTCAGAGGGACCGGTGGCCCCTGCGCTTGGCAGCCTCATTGCTGTCAGTGTGCCGCAGGGCAGCTGTGGCTAAAATGTAGCTCATCACCATCAGTGTGTGTGTGTGTGTAAATGGACTCCCATTAAAGCTAGCGTTCTACATACACCCGGAGAGAAACCACATATCTATAACATGCATAGAAGCCTAGGATGGTAACTGTTACCTACTGAGACGATGATCTGTGGTAGCGGTCGGTGAAGGATCCACAAGAACTCAATGGGATAACAGATACTGAGATCCATTCAAGGTCAAATAAACAGGTATACAGGCGCTGTACTGTCTGTCATGGTGAAGAGAGTGCTGAGCCGGAGACAAACTCTTGATCCTGGTCAATCTCTGTTTCTAGTCAGTGTTGATTCAGGCCCTGTCCACACGTAGCCGGGGATCTGCCAAAACGTAGATATTTTTCTAGGTTTTGGCCTGTCATCCACACAAAAACAGAGTTTTTTCACACGAAAATTGATCTTTTTAAAAACTCCGGCCAAAGTGAAGATCTGCGTTTTCTCCGTTTTGGGTGTCTGTGTGTGGACAGACAAAACCGGAGTTTTAAGGTCCGCAACGTCACTTTCCGCGACAAAAAAATGCTGACATCACGTGTGCGACCTGTGTTTACACTAGCCGACAGCATGGACGCCCTCAGAGCTGCGCTCGCTTCATCAATTGTCCAAGCGCTTTTTGCTTGTTTGTTTTTGCAAGCGGAATTACTGCTCCTTGCGGAAGACCACAGATGAAGGATGAGGTTAAGAACGGGGGAAGTACTGCCGCCTACAGGTCTGGCATGTCCTTAACAACGTATTTATCCGGGTACGTGTGGACAGAGTTTTCTTTGTAAAACGAGGTGGTGTGGATGCAAGTTTTTGGAGGGGAGGATATTCGTTTTAAAAAAAACCCGGCTACGTGTGGACTAGGCCTAAGTCAACAATAATGATGACTGAATTGATTTTGTTATGAGAATTTTTCCCATAACAAAGACGAAACGCTGACACACTAAAAATAGCTTTAGTGACTTAAACATGACAAGACGTGTGGGAGTTTCCGTTGACGAGACGAGACAAAAACTATGCTGAAAATGCACATTTCTGCCTGTCTCCCAAAAGCTAAAGCAGTCTGTGTCCCAGCTGCAGCGCTCAATCTGCTCAGCCGACCAGCTTCACTCAGCTGCTTCTGCTCAGCGCTTCCCTGCCAGGAACACAGCACTCAGCCGCTCATTGCTGCTTACTGAAGAAGTAAACGATAAGAACTACGAGTGACAAAGTTACTTTTAAAAAAATTCGTAATATTAACGCGTTTCTTATCCTGAAAAAGTCATGATTTTGGGCAGATAATGAAAGAAACAGGTTTCATGAAATTAAACTTACACAACTCAGAGTGCATGTCTGACCTATAAAATCATTTGTTAAAGAATAATGCTGTTTAAATTTTTTGAAAAATTGAATACAAAAATCTTTGTCGACTAAAACCTTTTTGAGTTTCAGTCGACTAAAACAGATTAAAGCCTGGGGCACACTGGAGACAGATGCGCCACGGAAACGCCGCGGTTTGGATAAGTCAAGTGGTCACACAGGATGCACCACGCCACTGACCGCTTCTTGGAAAGTCACGCGATATTCACAACATCACGCGGGACTTGAGACCAGGAAGCGGGAAGTGACTATTGTGTATACATGATCAGACTTGCTGTCGTGTTTTGTGAGACTCTAATTCATTAAAAATGGGTAAGTATGCCATTTCATCCATCCATTGTCTGAACCCGCTTGTCCACATAGGGTCGGGGTGGGGGGGTGGGGGCTGGTGCCTATCTCCAGCGGTCAATGGGCAATCAGGCGGGGTACACCCTGGACAGAGAGCCAGTCCATCGCAGGGCAACACACACACACACACACACACACACACACACACACACACACACACACACACACACACACACACACCTAAGGACAATTTAGACAGACCAATCAACCTAACAGTCATGTTTTTGGACTGTGGGAGGAAGCCGGACCACCCGGAGAGAACCCAAGCAAGCACAGGGAGAATTATGGGCTGCATGGTGGCGCAGTTGTTAGCACTGTTGCCTCGCAGCACGAAGGTTGCAGGTTCAAAACTCGGCTGCGGCCTTTCTGCGTGGAGTTGCGCGTTCTCCCCATGCATGCGTGGGTTTCCTCTGGGTACTCCGGTTTCCCAAACAGATCACAACAAGCCCTATAGGTTATAAATTGTAAGTCGCCTTGGATAAAAGCGTCTGCTAAATAAATAAACATAAACATAAACATGCAAACTCCATGCAGAAAGATCCCAGGCTGGGAAGCGAACCCAGGACCTTCTTGCTGCAAGGCAACAGCTCTAACCACTGTGCCACTGCGCAGCCCAAGTATGCCATTTATTAGAATATTTTAAGATCAATAGTACTCAGTTATGAGAACATGCACAGCAGCATCAGTGAGAGAACAGGAAGCAAATTAATTACATAATATGGCGCAGAGTCACCAAAAAACAAACACAGCTCGCACCTGCCTTTGTTTATCTTATTAAGGAGGACACCACAGACTTTTCTGCACATCTTTAGCTCCAGCCACATGCTCAGGATTTCTGCATTCCTGAGAAGTCCTTGGGAACCACAAATAACGCCCGTAAAAGCCCGAACCGACACAACCTAGCCCCGACTGTACTGACCCAGATGTGGAAGTGGCTTAAGCCTCCAAGCATGACTTTAGCCTCCGTAGCTCCTTCCTGAGAAAGGTCTTCTTATAAACTATGGGGTGAAGACGGATCCACAGTAAAAACTAGACTCCTAAGTAAATACAGTGAAATCGTATTTTTACCAGCTGAAATTATTACGCCAATTCTTTCAAGGAGCAACCTAGAGACAGTGGTTCGTGCCTGTGTGATATGTAGGTTGTAGCATTGAAAGGGTTTGCCGTTTGTGGTCACCCAGACTTTGGTTGGTTGCCTCAGCTGGTCCAAACCACCGCTTCTCGTTTTACAACAGTCTAGGAGGACAGATCATATCACTCTCATCTTAGTCTTGCTTCACTGGTTCATTTTACAATACATTTAAGCTTCTTTAATTTTGACTTTTAAACCTCTCAACCGCATGACTCCATCAAATCTGTCAGACCTCTTGCAGTCTTACACTCAGGGCGTTCTTCAATGTCAAGGCACCTGGCCTACCAAGGCGATGTCTTGCGAGGCCAGGCGCCTTACTTACAAGGACACTGTCCTTCCTTGGTCAGAGAAAACGGTTAAATGGAACAGACTTACATCACGTGATGTAAAGTTCTATTTTATATGATAAGTTTCAATATGGATGTATAACGAGCTTGAACTTCTTTTGTGTATGTATCGATTAAAATAAATACGTAAGCGAGTTACTGCCTGCTAACCACCGAAGCTGCAACTAAACAACCATAGAGAACTGCTTTGGATCTAAAAAAAACATTTTTGATATCAGCCCGATAGCAACAATTAGTTGACTTACATTTAAACTGGAAATTTGTCCCTGAAGTAGCTGCTGCCGGCTTCTGATTCACCATCCATTTTAAAATTCTGCCAAATTTTGACAGATAAGACAACAAGGCACCTCCCATGTATCCTTGGTCAGTTAGCTAAATGGCTAACAAACGGAGGAGCACATAAACATTGGAAAACACCATGGTTGGTTCCTGAAGATGCATCTCCTGGGCAACCGGGGCAGGACCAAGGCATCAAGACGAGGTTCCTTGGCATTGAGAAACACCCTTAGTCCTGTTCACTTCGGCCTGTGGGACAGATGCTGTTGATGGAACCAAATCTGAACTGCAAAACCAGGGCAGAAAGGGCTTTTGTGGTTGAGAGTCTAATTTATGGAACGCTTTGTGCCTACGGGTAAGACTGCCCCCTCCTTCCCGATTTTAAATCTTGTTTTTACCATCAAAGAAGATTTACCATTATTCTGTTGCTTTTAACGCAGTGAAGGTTTAGTTTTTGAATGCTGTCTGTTAAAGCGTTGTTGACTTTGATCTTGTGTTTTAATTTTTATCATATATGTATTAATTTCATTTTAACTATTTATTTAGAAATTTTCAAAACAAACAAAAGGAAAAAAGAAAGACAAATAAAAAATAAAATACATGAAAATAAATTATTCCTGAGAAAGATGAATGGCTACAATTAATTTTGAAAAGACAATAATCAAATTGCCTATATGTGCACATATGTACACACACACACACACACACACACACACACCTACATGTACATCTACATAATCACACAATACGTACATACTCATACATCCACCTACGTATAACTGGACATTCATCCTTGTGCCTGTACATATACATACACATTCACCGATATACCTTAGATTTTCATTTGGCCAATTTACATTCCCTAATATCATGTCAGCAAGAACAATTATAGGTTTAAGTATTCTTTAATCATCTTCCACCTCCGATCCAAAAGATCCATTTTCATTTGTAGTGGTGGTGTCCTTTTTTCCATCCAACATGTATGTAGTCATGTACAGCCCTTTGTGCAAACTTGCAGTGGTACCTTTACAGTGCTCTGTAAATAAAGGTGGTATGGTAGTATTTAATAAATACTTACATGGTTGCCTGCTCAAGCTCCGCTGGTGCAGTTGAGTCATAATTGGCTGTCGTAGAGCAAATCTCCTGAAAAACATGATAGAAGTAAGGAAGAAAGGAAAAATAAATAAAATACATAACGGGGGGGGGGGGGGGGGGGGGGGGGTACAGGTATTAAACAGTTTGAATGAGCAAGGGTTTCTTGCTCGCTCTAATCTTTACCCTTTGAATTTATTTATTTAATCTTTTTCATTCCGTGATGCTCGAAACACCATCTGCATACTGCACAAACGAGATCAGCATTATTTATGGCCTTCTGCCTTTTCTTGTTTAAGGCGTTGCGCAAAAAGTGCAACTACTTTTGCATAAGAAGTAACCAGATTAAGTTAAAGAAAGAAAGTGAAGCTTGTGCAACTGCAGCTTAGCAAGTCCAGGGGACTCATTTATAAAGCTTGCTTACACACAAAACGGGGTCGGAAAACTGCGTAAGCAACTTTCCACACAAACTTTGGGATTTATAAAAGAAAACTTAGCGGAAAAATGTGCACAACTTTAAGTTGACTAAGGACCTGGCTTACACACATGTTGGACATGGAGAGCACCTGCAGTGCTACTGCTGAGAAGATACAATCATGAAATCCTGCAGCATTATCACTTGTACTGCTTTGGTTTCACACAGAACAAGACCCCTCACACACACATGCACGCACGCAGGCACGCACACACTCACACACACACACACATGCACACTCACACACATGCGCGCGCGCACACACACACAGCCTGAAGCGCAGAATACAGAATGCAAAATATCAGCAGGGGGACAGATTGAGACAGAATGTCATGCATCTGTGACAGTGTGTGTCACTGTGACCCGATTGATCATGCGCCCTGGCTACTTGTACAAGGGAGATCACCGTTTGGCTGACTGGTTAGCGCGCATGACTTTAACCTGGGAGTCTGGGGATTGAATCCTGATTGGACCATTTTTTTATATCCACCACAGATCTCTCTGAAGAACTCACAACATTGACGGCTTCAGCAACGTTGTACCACTCAGTGGATTTTCTCTTTATTTGTTTTGCAAAAGCACTTCCTTTCATTTCTCCACCTCACCCACAGGTACCTCAATTTCTGCTTCTGTGAAATTGCGCTTCCTTGAACTGTCTTGATCTGCGGTTGCCATCGTCATTGGCGGAGTGCTGCAACAGCCGGATTATGTACATGCATGAGATCCACAAGGCACTTTGCACTGACCATTTATGGCAGTAAGTGGGCGTAGTGAGGGCGGGATGGGACTAAAATGCAGCTGAGAATCATTCTCGTTAGTTTCCGATTTATGAAGCGGAGACTGCGTGCAGCTGTGCGTACTCCATGTTTGATAGATCACAAACCTACTTGGCGTAAGTACATTTTTTTTTTGCTGAGCTTAAGTACGGTTTTAGTAAGGATTCTACGTAATGTTTGATAAAGGAGACCCCAGGCTTTTAAATGCTTCTATAAACAGGAAGTACTTGGTTTCTCACCTCTCCTGGAACTGCTTGGATGGGATTAGGCCAGCACGGGAATTGGCATCCCCCTCATGTTTGGCCTGCCACCACGTAGCATCCTCCTGGCTCATAATCTGAAGGATAGAGCCCTTCTTGAAGGCCAGTCCAGCCTCCATACATGGGATGGCACGGTCTTCACTGGGGTCATAGTCAAAGAGAGCTTTCAAAAACACCTACATGGAGACAAAAGGGAAGAATCTACTGCACACTCCATGCTTGCTTCGCTCTGTAATCGATTATGCTGCCTCACTGCCACCTAGGACTGAATGAATGATGTTTGTTGTTAGCCTCAAAGGCAACCTGCTGGCTCGACTATCACCTGTAAGTCTCTCTGGACTAATAGTCTGCTAAATACATAAACGTATCAGGAGGAACTCCAGTGTGTGAAGATCAACTGTCTCCGTTCTCAGCGTTCCTTTACAGAATCTCACATGAACTGATTTAGACTAAAACATAATTCTGTTTTTTGGAAACGTGCCTATTGGACTAGCTCAGGGGTGGGCAACTACCAAAAACGTGTTCCTCAATAAAAATGCATAAATGAATCCATATTTAGGCTTTTGTTTTGTATGATTTAACACGGAGGTTAACACATTTACATTAGTTAAAAGTTTTACCTCTGATTTTTATTAGACACATTCAGAAGATTTAACATGCCAACTCATTGTAGCATTTACACAAACAAGGTTATAAGCAAATGCGTAACTCCTTTCATGAACAACTTAAATCAACAAATTGAGCAAATTAAATTATATAATGATGAGATTACATTTTGACTACAGGAAATTAAATCTTTCACACCTGGTGTGAGTTTGCAGCATGTAAGCTTTTCCATCTTATTTACCTGCAATGATTTTAGAAATACTGCAGGTGTCGCTATTGAGTGACCAACACAGTGTCAATACAGTGCTGACAGTTAGTGTAGTGTGTCAATACACTCTTCAGGTATCATCATTCCATCACTAGTGAATCCATGCAACATAACAATTAGGATGGGAAACTGTTACCTTTGGCTCCCTGACGGGTCCATCTTCTGTCACGCCAGGTACAACTTTAAAAGTGATGGCTCCTTGGGACTGGGCCTAGACCAGGAACAAAGGTGATGCGGGTCTGATCTGGTTCCACTAGGGCACCAAATTACACATAAGCCCTTCCCCCAGCAGCACTCCTGAACCAAAAACCAGCTCAGTGACAAAGGTCACCTCAGTGTAGTTGGTGTTCCGAACTACACTGAGATGACTGGCAACAAAAAATGGGCGCTCTCATCATAGCACACGCATGTGGGGGGAGAGCCTGCAGGAACCAGAAATCTGTTGAAGGCAGCAGGCAGAAAGCTCTAGAACAAGCAGTGACTCCACCCCCTAGCCAATCAGTGGCTGACTTTGCGTTTCTGAACCGGGTCAGCGCTACAAACCACCAGTAGTGGTGCTGTAGTAAGGAACCCCTGTTTTTGTACTGCGTGTGTGAGCAGCACTAAATGGAAGACCTCCATCATTTTAACATTTTGAAGGGAGCTGAAATAATTCAGCTGATTTGAGCAGATTTAACTAAACTGTAACAAACTGAAATTCCAATAATGTACTTAGGAGCTGATTAAATTTGCCATTGGAGACTTCCAGTGTCTTTCATGGTGATAAAAGTTTAGAAGTCCTCTTCCCTTCTTGCCACCGTTAAATATTTGGTGATGCTTAAATCCTCATTCAGCTGCTCCAAACTGGACGCAGCTTGCTCTCTGTCAAAGGTGACAGAAGTTAAGATCTGTCATCCACCAGAAGCCCGTGCTGCTTGGAGGAACGGCACAGCAGATCATCATCACATCACAAATTATGAAAGCCATTATGACCAAGGAGGTGGAGCTGAAACACCTGAGCTGACACAAAATATGAGCCACACCAGAATGTGGATGATTTCTTCTGGTTTCTTGTCCTCCACAGGGATTCCATTGACCTCCTTCAGTTCATCCCCAGGGTGAATGAGACCTGGCATAATGAAAACAGCAAATTCACACACATGTACAATTTTTACCCAACAAAAAGCTGCTCCAGTGTAAAACTCTAGAGGAGGGGTTGTGTAAAAGAACAACAAACGTTAATAATCATGGGTCACCTGACCGAAAAAAAAGGAATGTGAGTGAACGGGTCCGTAAAAGTTATTTTCTAATCCACTTACACCCTGAATCACACGTTGTACTTCAGTTTAAATGATAAACAGTTATGAGTGTTTCCACTGGTGATGGGGAAGGTTCTCAGTCATCCAGGTCATGCTAATCCAAAAGGGTTCAAATGAAGACAACTGGACATCTTCAAGAAACCAAATAAGTCCAGGAGCCTTCATTTAAATCTTTTTAGATGTTTGTCACATAATCTGAGATGTTAGCTTGCAAGGACTGGTAATTAAAAAGACTACTAATCAGACGTCGCCTATATGACGTCACATCAGAATACCTTCTCCCCCAGTGTAGCTGCTGCTTAGCCCGTGACCAGGTTCATAGTGGTTTTCTGCACATGCAGTGATCCTCCCGTTTTCTTGGATGTGAGGCCTGCTAAATTCATAGTAGGGCAGGGCAATTAATAGAAAATGTATCGTTATCGAAATTTCTGACTCTTGTCGAGACAATTTTTCCCATGTTAATAAATTTGATAATAAAAACATTAAAAGATGTGTGTATGGCAACGTTCATGTCCCTTTAAGAAGCTGTACCACCTTGAGTCATGTAAAAATGTGACTCACCGTAATACATGCGACAGCCCCATCTAGTGGACAACTTTTGTTTACGCGCATACCTGTAGTTATCGTTATCGAGGGGAAATCCTCAATATATCTTGATACTGATTTTAGGCCGTGTCGCCCAGCCCTAATTCATAGCCATTTTTCTTTCCCTCTACTCTTTCTGATGATGTCACTTTAGTGAGACAATCATTTAGTCTACAACATCTTTTTCCACACGAAAAAGCGCTTTCTTTGCATCAAAATGTGTTTTTAAAATTCATGGACATAAAATGTTAAATCCATATCAAACAGGATCAGAAAATAACTTTTACTGGCTTTTAGACTCCCATTCATTTTTTTTGCAGCAGGAGATCCATGGTCCAGAAGTAGATAGGTGAGATGTAAGACTCCTTATAAACGTGTGAAGGGGGAGGAGCTGGGACTGACCACTCCTGTCTGCTGCCCCTCCTCTCATGATGCGTGCCACAATGATGGCTCCCGTGTGATCATCCCGCCGTATTGTAGCTCCCTAAGTAAATCAGATCATTAACCATGAGCACAACAGAAACATATCTGGACTCCTGGTGATTTTCAAATATATACCCCCCCCCCCCCCCCCCCTAAAAAAAAAAAACAACAAGAAAAGTTATATAGCTACATTTTAAAATCCTCAAAGATGTTAGACCAATCATCCCCCTTACACCACCACAGGACTCACAAACAAATGAACACCAGTTTGCATGAAGAAAAAGGCGCTCACAAGAGGCTCCTTGTTCTTGACCAGCCTTATAATTTTCACAGAATCCTCGTTGTCATCTATGTCGTCGGGTAGAGGAGGTAGTTCAGGGTCGTAACCCTTCTTGGCAACTGTGTCATGCACTAACAAAAGACTCTAGAAAAGGGAGAGAATACAGAAATGATTGGAACGAAAGAAAGAGGTACAGATTTTCAAATAAACTGGAAGAGAATCAACTTAATATGTCAACTATTAGAGTGGCTAGGGGTCCTTCAAACAGGATTTTCACCTTTTCAGGCAATTTCATCTTGCTCAAGTAGTGTTCTGTTTTGTTAGACTCTGGGTAAGAATCTCTTGATTTTATATAATCTAGACTGAATCTACAATAGCTCTCTCTCACCAACTCATGACAAATCCTCCAAAAATGAAGCTGCCATGTTTAAAAAGACTCCATTCAGACTAGACAAATAGATGCTGTCAGTTTGAGTCCAAAGTGGTGACCCTCCATACAAACTTACTTTGAGGTGGGGTTTGTCCAGAAGTTTCAGAAGCTCTTGGACATCTCCACTCACTGACTTTTCCTCCAGATCCACAGACAGCTAAAACAAATGGACCCAGAATGCTCTCACACATGCAGTACTTAAGGTATCTAAGTAACATCAGGTGTGCAGGAAATATCAAAATAACAAAACCTCAAAATGTTGCATGATGTTTCAATAATCTACACAGGGAGTGAAAACTAAAAGAAGAAAAGGCACATCCACCTAGCTAGCCACTCAAAGTTCCCATGACTTAGGCTACATTCACACTGCAGGCAAAAGCGCATCGAATCTCATTCTTCCCCTCATGCGACTCATATCGGATTTATTTGTGACAGTCTGAACAGCACGGGTCTGAGTTTTTCCAAATCGGATCCAGATCCCTTTCATATGCGGTACTGAATCAATCGTTTTTGAAAGTGACTTCAGTCTGAACAATCATGTTGCGTTAAATCTGCCTCCTCATTACTGACCGAGTAGAAATGAGCGTTGTGTGTCTTGACGTTGCTGAGGAGAAGCACTAACAGAGGTCTGTCTGGACGTTTTGTCAAGTTTACATCCATCCCTCCATTCCATCCGATTATGTGGGGTGGGGTCACGGGGCAGCAGTCTGAGGAGAGAGGCCAAGACGTCCCTCCCCCCAGCCATTTGGGCCGGCTCTTCCGGAAAAATCCTAAGGCGCTCCCAGAGACATAGTCCCTCCAGCGTATCCTGGGTCTCCCTTTAGGCCTCCTCCCGGTTGGATGTGGCCGGAAATCCTCACCAGAGTGGTGTCCAGGAGGCATCCTAATTAGTTGCCCAAGCCACTTCCTCTTGATGGCTCCTCTCGATGTGGAGGATCAGTGGATCTACTCGGAGCCCCTCCTACATGACCAAGCTTCTCACCCTATCTCAAATGGGCCATTCCCATCTGTACCGGGTCGGGCCGGGCAGCGTAGGTTGTTTACATATCTGGGTGGGCTGGTATTTTTCCGGGCCGACCAAGGCTCATACTCAGCCCTCTTCTCGAGGGGGTCTGCTTCAGGCCGACCAGGGCCAACACACCCACTGCTGACAGCAAATTCACACCTTCCATTAGAGCAAGCCTCTGATTGGTGGGTAGAATCAGCCCACATGGGCTTAAGACAAGGATGTGTGGAATCAACCGGGCCAGGCTGGGGCCGACTGGGGCTACCCGGCCCGGGCCGACCCGGTACAGATGGGAATGGCCCATAAGGGAGAGCTCAGACACCCTGGGAAGAAAGCTCATTTTGACTGCTTGTACCCAAAATCTCATTTTTTTGGTCATTACCCAAAGCTCGTGACCATTGTCAGTGAGAGCAGGAGGTGGGAGGGGGTTGCTGCTAGGGCAAAGGGTCTCTCCAGTTCCCGTGTGTGTGTGTGTCGACGGGGGCAGACTCGACAGATGTGTTTCTGAAGTTGTGGATGAATTGTCAGTGAAGGTTTTCACATCACAACCCCACCTCACAAGGGGCCTCATTTATAAACCGTACTTACGAACAGAACGTGCGTACGAGAGGCCACCGCAAGTTTCAGAAATCAGGAGTACACAAACCCTAAATTTCATTTGTAGGAAGGAATTTAGGAACGTTCGTATGAACGTTTTGATAAATGAGGCCCCTGGTTTTGACTCCACTGTCTGTGACTTCTTGTTCTCTTCTGCGCATGCGGGTCACTTTGGGGCCTTGAACCGCTCACACTAAAGTGTTTGATGTCACATCTCAGTTATAACGTGAACAACCACACAAAAAATCTGATTAACTCAAAAAATCTAAATTGAGCACATTCTCACATTGAGTCACATTCTCTATAGGAGCTGATTCAACTGCTAATAAATTAGAAAACACTTTAAGGGACTTTACGGAGTTTTGAATTTTTAAGCTCGCGATTGCCCCCTCAGGCCAAAAGCGTAACGGCAGCTTCAATAGTAGGCTCGTGCATGAGGTGCGCATGCTGTATGTCCACACTCCTTAACGAAAATAACAGATGAGACAGTCTTTTGTGCGTGCGTGTGTGTGGGTGGCCCGGAGGACAGAGGACAGGAGAACGCGCAGCTAATTAACTAAAAAATTAGGTTCTGTACCTTTCTCTTCAGCACAGCCGACAAAGGTTTATGATGGGTCAGTCCTCCTGCATGCTCAGATCATTCCCTTCCCTTGTTTGAAAAATTGTTCCAAAATGAAAGTTGAACCCACATCTTTTTTATCTGTGAATTCAATGCCATTTGGCGAGTCACAAATAAAAATTTGGGCATCTTACTGTAAAAAAATATACCATTAATGTAAAAAAGAAACTCTAAACTATATTCACATCCAGAATCGAACCCGGGTCTTCTGCATGAGAATCAGACATCTTACAAGGTGAACTACACACCAATAACATTCATAGCATCTGTAACTCTTATATCCTTGATGACACCTGAAACAACGTCAAACCAAAGAACGGTTCGGAGCAAAAATGGCTATTTTGTTGCTAATTTGCAAGAAATATCTAGAAGAAAGTAGCTAAGGGTCCTCAGAAATGTAGCTAGGTTCATCACTAGGCGTTAGGAACAGCGACAAAGTCGCTGAGTTGGCACTGCCTCTCTCTCTGCTGCTAAAGCTACGGATAGCAAATGCTGCGGGCGATGCCTGAGCGTGAACGCGCATGAAGCAGCCTGCTCGACCCGAGCAGCTCTTTTTTTCTGTGATTTTACAGAAAAACAGGCAATGACAGTAAAAATGCCAGGGCTCATTCTACAGGACAAGGGCATTGCAGGAGAATGTATGAAGAAGAAATTTATTATTTCTATACATGTTTTGGCTGTCAAACTTCCATAATGCCCCTTTAACAAGCTTTGATACATGTGCGAACACACACATATAATAAGACATGCACACACATACATATAATAAGACATACACACACATATAATAAGAAATACACACACATACATATAAGACGCACATACACACATACATATAATAGCACATACACACATACATATAATAGCACATACACACATACATATAATAGCACATACACACATACATATAATAGCACATACACACATACATATAATAGCACATCCACACATACATATAATAGCACATCCACACATACATGTAATAGCACATACACACATACATATAAGACGCACATACACACATACATATAATAGCACATACACACATACATATAATAGCACATACACACATACATGTAATAGCACATCCACACATACATATAATAGCACATCCACACATACATGTAATAGCACATACACACATACATATAAGACGCACATACACACATACATATAATAGCACATACACACATACATGTAATAGCACATCCACACATACATATAATAGCACATCCACACATACATGTAATAGCACATACACACATACATATAAGACGCACATACACACATACATATAATAGCACATACACACATACATATAATAGCACATACACACATACATGTAATAGCACATACACACATACATATAATAGCAGGGTTTCCCTTACATAGGCGTAGCCGTGGCGGCCCCCCACGGCTGAAATCCCACCGCCAAGCCTACAAGATCCCAAGTTTTTTTTTTTGGCACTGTTTTCCGAAGAAGCAGCGGGAACTAGGGCTGTCGCGGTAACCGCAAAAATGAAATATCGCGATATGAAGAAGCCCACCGCGCTGCATCATGGGCCACCGCGATTACTGAACTTGGTTCGACTCAATGATGCATGTTGAGAAGGATGGCTGCACTGGTATCAAAACGAAACGTTACTTCGCTCCTTTGGGAGCACTTTGGTTTTCAGTACGTCAGCTGCTGCGCAGCCAGAGTCCTTGGCCGAGACAGAGCTGCCACCAGCGGCAAAAATAAATAAATAAATGCTCGGAGACCTGCTGAAGTCCCGGACAAGCACTGCTTCTGCAGCCGTCCCAAAGAGAGTTTGAGCCGAGCTGGAGCTCACTCGCTACCTGCAGGAGGAATGCATCCACCCTAAAGAAACCCCCCTGACATGGTGGAGCAACAACCGGGAGAGATTCCCTTTGCTCGCCAGAGTCGCACGCAAGTACGTGTGCGTTAGTGCAACGAGCGCACCATCCGAGAGGGTTTTCAGTGTTGCTGCAAATGTTGCCACCCCTCTCAGATCCTCTCTCAAACCGTAGTTAACATGCTGGTTTTCCTTGTAGGTAACAAGGACGTGACTGAGCTATAAATCACCGTCATTCGTGTGTGTGAAAGTGAAATGATAGTGCGCCCGCCCGCGCCCGGTACATGTAATTTTTTATGCTTGATTTTAAACAACTAAACAAAATGGGGACTTGTTTCTTATTTGTTAGATGCTGCAGCCAAATTTGCATTTAAAAGTTTTTCTCCTGAATTTTGTTGTTTTTAAGTTCAGTCGGACTCCGACTGTCGGAGAAACAAACGTTACTGCGATCTGTGTTGTTACTGCCCTTTGATCTGCATTCAGTAAAGTGTTATAAAAGAAGGCACGGCAATTTTTAACCTTTTTTAAATGTGTAAACATTATGTTTAGATAGTACTGCAATAAAAAAAGTGCTGCAATAATATCGCACACCGCAATATTAAGCCACCCTGAATCACCGCAGGGGGAATTCCTCAACCGCGACAGCCCTAGCGGGAACTACTATGTTGTCGCTTGTGATCACAGCCGGCAGGCAGCAAGGAGCAGGCAGGGCAAGGTGAAGTTACAGCATAAGTTACAGAGTTTAAAATTAGAAAGGTAGCAGTGGATATAATGCTTTTTGGTTTACATGTTTCAATAGCATTAAGATAAATGAGTGTTGACGATCTTGACAGGGTTTCCTCCAGTGCTTACTAGGCCAGATTTTCCTCCCCCCACCAGGCTAATCATCACCTACTCATGTAAAATGTATTTGTTTTTTCATGTCTGACTTTAACCGCATCTAATACTGTATTACGGCGTGAGCGCAACAGCGACAACTTAAGATCGATGCGTGAGCAGCCTGAGAGGTCAGGTGTTTTCATCTGAACCCTTAAAACCTCCAGCAGGCTACGCTGCACTATTGACGCGTTAGAGAAAGCGTAAAAACATGTTGGACGCTTCTTCTGAAGTGGGAAAATAACACCTCTTCTTAAGCAGAGCACGACGTCGCCTCGGCTGGTTCACCCTCTGCCGAGCAGGACTGAGCTCGATAACATTGACCCAGCACAGCCACTGGGTCGTTGGAGCTGCCCCGTAACTGCCTGATGGAAAACCAGCGGGTTTCATCAGACTCGTAAAGTTTCTTGTTTTTGCTGGGGACCCCCTGTATTTTACTGCTCCCTCCTCCAGTCTTCCCCTATTAACATTTAAAATGATTCTGTAAATTTCGTGTATCAATAGAAACAATCTCTGCCAGCTGCAGTAAATGTAGTGTCCAAATAATAAATAAGAGGTGCATTCATCTGTGTATCTCCTTTGATCCGCATTAGTGATATTCTCAGCACCAGAACAGTGAAGCAAAGAAACAGATTCCTGAGTTTGTTAGTAATTTTATTTATTAGGTGCATCTGACCTGTTCTATTTTTCTCTGAAATGAGATCAAATCAGTGCTTCTACGGGCTGTCTCCTCTCTGCACTGGAAATTTTACTTTATTTAGAGACGTGTCATAATTTCTCCCCAAGCCCCCCCCCCCCCCCCCCCCCCCCACATACATATAATAGCACATACACACATACATATAATAGCACATACACACATACATATAATAGCACATACACACACATACATATAATAAAACGTACACATACATATAATCGACACACAAACACCCAGATCAAAACATAATATCACAGAGGTTGTAGTTCATACAAATGTCCTGGTACTTGGCGAGTCTTAAGTTGAAAGCGGAGATTTCCTGAGTTTTGGGGCTGCATGAGAGAAAGCACTCTCCCGTTGGATTTACAGCGAACCTTCGGAACAACCAGCGGCAGGTGATCGGCTAATCGAGGGGGACGTGTGGGTGCGTAAGGAGACAGCAAGTCAGCCAGATAAGATGGAGATGGGCCATCCAAAGCCTTGTACACAGAAAGCAAGACTTTGAAATGAGTGCTAAATTTAACTGGGAGCCAGTGCAAATCAGTAAGAATAGGAGTGATGTGCATACTTCTGTAGTCTACCTAAGACGAATGCATTAATCGCAATCTGCATAGAATTGGCTTAATCTAGATGAACGCGTGAATGAGACACTCAAGACGTGGGTGTGTGAAGATAGATTTAAGATGTGTGATGTGACAGAGTTGGAATAAGCAAGACCTGATGGCAAACGATTTCTAGGAATTGTAACAATAGGAACCGGTTTTGCTTCCCACCGCTACTCTGGCCAGTATCTTTATTGGCTCGATTCACCAAGAGCTTCTCGGGGGGTGGGGCGTGTTGGTGTCTGTGCCACAGCTCCACTCTCTTGGTCCACCAGGCAATTTCCACACAGCATGTGTGGGTGAAGACTGTGGTAGGGGGGTGACTTGCTCTTTAAAAAAGCCATGTGAGGGCAAGCACCTATTGTTTTCACCTCCTAAGTGGTCTCTCTACACAAAAGCTTTGAATAACTGAGTTTGAACATTTTAAAGTGAATCTAAAACGGCATTCCAACAAAAGCTGAATAAAAAAACATAATGGACCAGACACTAAAATGTCATGTTTGTTACCAGCAGACAGATGAATAACATTTAAAAATAAACCAAAGAATATTTCAGCACTATGTGAAATGAAAAGTAAATCTCACTTCACGGGCCAAAGCTGCAGTAGTATCCAGGACAGGGATGGGTTTGCTCGCTTCAAAGTTTTTCAGTCGTTCATGGATCTAAAAATCAAAACACAACTTTTAAAAATCTACAGAAAGACTCAAACATGCAGTTTTAGGTGAGATATTTAAATATCAATATATAAACAACAATGTTCCATTAAAACTATTCAGTCACTGATTCAAGCATCAGACTAAAATAACAATCAGGTGGCGTTTATATGCAAATTCATGTGGAACCCGATTAGGAAACTGCTGTGAAGTGTGCTCTAAAACTTTGTTGTCTGGACTAGTCTCAAAAGCCTCTTTTATATGACACACCATGCCGGCATGACGTTGCGTGAAATTTGCGGCATTCGTTCCGCCTCGCTTGGTAGTAATATTGCGGTAATGGTCTGTCGTATGCGCCCTGGCGCAACAGAGGCAGATGTCATGATGACGTGGGGCTCCTGCTGGCAAGTTATTGAAAATGAAAGTAAACACGGGCAATACGGTTTGCTTTTTGAACAAAATCAGCTGAGATGGCAAACTGGAGCGCCACAGCGCTGCATGAGCCTTTCTGTTAGAGCTGAAGCTCAGATCACCAGAGACTGCACAGGGACTGATGGAGACAGACACCTTTAGGAGCTGCTTGTTAAAAAAAAACTTAACGATCACGGCTTCAATCACAATAAAAAGCAAGTTATGTCCAAGATAAACAGAAGTCTGCGGCAGAGCAGAGACCGCCCCCATACCCCCTTTATGCCGCCATCACCCAATCTTTAATAAAATTGCCACGATTGCGCCACATTACCGCCACGGTCTGATCTTATAAACGACCTTTATCCTCCCCAGGGAGCCGCGGCAAACGCCATGGTCCTGTAAAAGCAACTAGTTAGAAGTTTTAAAAGCTTCAGAAGCTCTGAGGTCAATGGTCGGCCTGTTTCTGTGTTTATGGATGTATACAGGTGTTCATGCGGGAGCCTCCAAGTGCTTTTACCTGTAAGTGTACCTGGTTATGAGTGACTGCTTTTGGTACCCATGAGTTTAGTTGAGGTTTGTAGTCCTGGCTGCTCTATGGTTTGTATTCTTTCCTTAAACCTAATTGTTTTTGCTATGTCTTGACTCATAAACGTGGTGTATCCACTGAGCCTCCTGGACCACTGGACCCTGTGGGCTCATCTGGGATTTGGTGTTAAATTACTTAACTCTTGACCAAAGAAAACCAAAGAGCACCAGTATGGAGATGACGCGTTTTTTCACCTTAACTAGTGAGCGAAGACCTTTCTCCCCCAACACACCCCGGAGGAAGGCGTTGTCCTCAGGGTGGCTAAGGTGGGGCTGAAGCTGGGAGGGCAGGGCTGCCAGCAGCTCGAACAAGACTGCAGAGGGAACAGAAAAGGAAGCAGGTTAGATCGGACATCATGACGGAAATGAGAGGTATGACTACGCTCATACATTCAAACCACGTTCTTTTCTCAGGGTTAGTACCTGGCTCCTGGCTGGCTCCATTGGCCAGGGCAGGCATGTCTGCTGCCGAACAAGTCCTCGTTCCCCCCAAGCGGTGTGTCAGAATGGCTAGCTCCTCAACAGAAAGCCCCAGAGACCGACTGAACGTGAAGACTGGTTTCTACAGCACAGCGCTCTGAAAGGGAAGAGATCGAGGCAATGCACCTGGAACCATTGATGTGAACATTTACCATATCTAATTCATTCACACATATCACATATTTAATTAGGATGTGTGAAGATCAGAGCACCGTTTAAGGTGCCTACACACTTTCAAAAATACTTTAAAAGTGGTTTTGGTCAGCTGTCCTCCAGACCTAAACCTATCTGACCTTTTCTTGGACTTTGGATGACCCGCACCCTTCCAGTGGGCCACGACCTTCAACTTCTCAAGTTTCCTGATCTCACTTGGGAATTTATTTTATTGATGGACACACTCAACACCTGAACATGCAGTGTTTCCATTTAATCCTGCTGTTAATGTAACTGGTGTAAACATGGAGCTGTTCTGGCCAGCGATACTACACACACACACATACAAACACTAAAGAGAACATTGGAGAAAATCCACCCCAGTCTAGTTGGATTCTTCTCATTCCGCACAACTGCACACAGAACTCATGCTGTTCGGAGATCAGTAGTTGGATTCCTACTCCACATAAAGTTACTAAAGCAGAACTCTTTAAAAACTGTGTCTGTTCAACAAATGATTTTAACTACATGGAAAGATACAAGAGATAACAACCCAGCAAAGCCTCAGAAAGCCTGATGCAGCTCTGAAATAAAAAACTAAACCATACAGAAACAAGGCGTAATCAAGCAAACGCTTATGAGAGTCTGAAATCAAGGAAAACTTACTGGATTACAGAAAGGCTACCATCAGATTAACAGGTACACAAAAATAAACCCTCACACACACACACACACACCCGCCAGCTCTCTTGGCTCACCTGAACAGACCTGAAACACAAGTTTTTTTTGTCTTTATAGGTTTCCTGGCTAAGGGCTCCGCCTTCTTTTACTTCACTCAGTGATTCACATGTAAACAAAAAGATGGCCAGTAAATCTCCAGTGACTCGGAGTGATCCAGTTTAGTTTAACAAACATTGAAACCATTTCGTGGTACTTGTACTCGTCGCCATCCCTACGCCGAGGTGACATGTTTAGATTACACCATACTGCCATGATGCCCAATAAAAGGATCACACAATATTCCAGAGCCCCTTTTCTCTCTACAAACAGCAAAATGCATTTCCAGAATCTCAACATTTAGTGGCAAACAAACTGAGTAAAAACAATTAAGCACACCAAACAGACCAGGCATGTGTTTTAAAGAGGTAATGACAAAATTTTTCCACTAGATAGCATGATATGTCCACCAAAAAAATGCCCAAGTGGGGAAAAGTCTACAACTCATAAGTCCAACTGCTGCTTTCGTACAGCGTTTATTTAGTGGGAATTCCAAGTGGGTTATCACCACGGGCCTGGTGTGGAAGGGTGTGTGCATTTCTTGCTAACCAAATAATCGAGAGAACTGCAAACAGACAACAAATCCAGATGAATGGGTCCAAGCTCATCTCCTTCATACATGCTGATAAAAGTGGAATAAAGCCAAATAAGTATGCCAGACCCTTTGTAGCTCATTACCACCAGTGTGTGAATGTGTGTGTGCATGGGTAAAGTTACACTTGCACACACACCATGTTGTAAAGCACCTTGGGGGTTCGTAGAACCCTAGAAGGCGCTATATCAAATACATTCAAATAGATACTAACATGTCCTGCAGGCGTGACTCTTGTATCTAGCGGTCTCGTCTATACAAAAGGGAATAAATCATTACAGAACTTAAACTTGAGACAACAGAAACAAGGGGATAAAAAAAGAATTACCAATCATCAGTCCAAGCCTCCCCATCTCCTCACATGGTCATGTAGCAGGGGAGGCTTGTCCATAGGACCTCTGGAGGTTTCTTCCTGTTAAAAGGGAGTTTTCCTCTCCACTGTCGCTAAATGCTTGCTTAGTATGAGGATTGCTGTAAAGACTCTGACACGAGTCAGTGACTCGCTGCAACCTGCTGGGTTCTTTATATAGGAAACTTGTTACTGATTGGCTTAATGAACTGACCTGTATTGGAATGTTTACCGTGTTAAGTGTCTTGGGACAACTAGTCGTGATTTGGCGCTTTACAGGTCCTTCTAAAAAAAATGTGCATATTGTGATGAAGTTCATTATTTTCTGTAATGTAATGATAATTATTGTTGATGAACATCTGGTCATCGGGCGGGAGTGTTAGCACAGTCCTGTTAGCACTGAAATAGTATTTGTGCAAGTATTTTATTTTGAAGGGAACTTTCAGGAAATGCATTCTTCTTTGCTGCCTGTGTTGCTCTTGATAGAGAACTAACGTATTAAAAAAAGATGTTATGAAGCTGTGATGTTGTTCACATACAAAAAATTTGCATTAAGTAAAGATGCTGATGCTCATCATTTCAGAAGCCTTTATTCCACATTACCCACATAATCGTTTCTTCTTACCAGGCAAACACACAGTCACTGATGCTTTCTTCTCTACCAGAGGTCCTCGTATTCTCGTACACCAGGAGTATTCAATTCCGGGTCTGGAGGGCCGGTATCCAGCATTTTTTAGTTTTAACACTGTTTCACACCTGATTTAAATCAGCAGGTGATTAACAGGCCTCTGCAGAGCCTGATGAGCTGCTGCACAGGTGAATCAAGTGTGTTGAATCAGAGACACCACTAAAACGTGCTGGATGGGGTTCCAGGACTCTAGACGGCGCTGTATCAAATACAGACCATTTACCTTTTTTTTTAAAAGAGCATCTGGCCCTCACGAAGTCTTTCCGTAAAAAAAAAATTGTTGAAGACCCCTGAGTAACATACTGGTGTGTGATCGCCCTCTCTGAATCTGCATTTGGGTTTGCCAACTTGCTACAGCCTTTCCCTGTGGTCATATTCCTCCTCTCAGGAATCTTGGTCATGTTGTTTACCAGGAACTCTGTTAGTCAGTTATAAAGTGGCTAGCCGACATGCTAGCACTGACAGCCGACATACAGCATGTTTTAGATCGTGAACACAGCCGATTTGTTTGATTGTAGAAACTAATGAAGACTGATGAGACATTTTAGCAGCTAGACTAAGGTGTTAAAACACAAACGCACCGCAAGGAGGAGAGTTTTGTTTTTACAACAGTGAATTAAAACTCACACTAGGGGGTGCCAAAAGCAAGGCAAAAGGAAAGAGTGTTCTTTCAAATGTAGGTCAGTGGCATACACAGAAATATGAGGAAATGCACAGACGTGGACTGCAGCTAGGGCTGCTCAATTAATCAAATTTTAATCACGATTACGATATGAGTTTTGAAAGATTATACAAACAAAACAAGCCGATTATTTGCTCCTCCTACTTGCGCTGCCCTGAGTTGCAAATGAAGCGCTCCTCCCTACAGTGTTGCCAACTTAGCGACTTTGACGCTATTTCTAACAGCTTTTCAGACCCCCTTCTTGACTTTTTAAATCTTAAAAGTACCTAGCGAACACCTCAGAAACATCTCTGGTAACCCTTAGCTACTTTCTGGATAACTGTCGTCGACATTTCCTGCAGGTTAGCTAAACACTCCGCCTGCGCTCCGGACGTTCTTCAGGACATTAGGAAAGGGAATGATGTAGTGATGTGTGGGTCGCTAAAGAAATGGCTCTCAGAGCCGGCTCCCTGTTGGAGTAACCAGAGTGAGTGACACACACACCGCACCTGCGGACTCCTGAGCCGCTAAAAACGGCTAAATGTGTGCGTGAGGGCGTGCTAAACACGTGCAGCTTGCCCCTGATTGCTGTGAGACCGGGTTGGGGGGGTGCAGCTGTGGCTGGGACAATTATTACATTAACTGATGGACTTGTAAATAAATAGTTTATAAATAAGGTAGAAATAGATAGAAATTAGTTCCTCACGCTGATAAACAATAACTAATCTCTCTGAGGACACGGTGCTAGTGCACTCTCCTACAGCACCTTGACATGACTCAATAAATGTTATGCAACATTTTGTGAACATCAATTTATTTGCATTTATTTGTTATAATTGTTTATTTGTATAATTCTTGCTGTCAGTATTTGCAAGATATTGGTATTTGGGTCTGTACTGGTTAGACTTAAATGAGTTAAACCAAGGTCTACAGCCATTGGGTCATAGACTATGAGCTATAAGTATATTGGTCTTTTTATACTGGGAATCAGGAGTTCTTTTAGTGATCATCTTGTTTCTTATTTATTTTTGTCCTGATTGTGCCCTGAGCAATTTTATGACTCAATAAAAACAAATAAAATCAACATAAATTGAAAAATCGTCTTAAATAATCGAGATCTCCATTTAAGTCACAACAATCGTGATTATTATTTTTGCCATAATCGAGCAGCCCTAACTGCAGCTGCACATTTTACCAAGTAGATGAAACAAATGTTGCTGCTATAACAAAAACAACCATTTATTAAATCTGCTGCACATGCTCCATTGTGATCTCAACTGTTTCCTTGTTTTAACACTTCTATTTCTTTGTCCCTGTCCCATCTCTCTCCTCTGGTTCCCATGCAGAGACAACAGCTCTTTCTGTCCGTCTGACCCGTTTACAGAGGAGAGGAGTCCGTTGTTGCCACCAGCCGCTGCTGACACATTCCACAGTCTTTCTCACGCATAAACTCACACGGGTACAGGGCTGAGCATCACCCGTTACACTGAATCAAGGCAGGAAATGAGAAAGTCAAATATCCTGTAATTTAAATAAGAACGGGGGAGGTAGGGGGACTTGTAGGGAGGGGATATGGGTAAGAAGAAAAGATGTGACTAATGTGAGTGTTTTATAAATATTTAGCCTCTCCAATCTGGAGGTCCTTCAAAAATGCTCCCGGTAACCTACATCCTTACCAGAGATTCACCTGAAGAAACACAACCAGACAGCAAGAAGGATGGGATAAAGTCCATCTCACAGCAGTGATGCAACCCACCACCCACACACACACACACACACACACACCCACACCCACACCCACACACACACACACACACACATACACACACACACACACACATCAATTCTCACTAGAAACAGAACTTGGCTAGCCTAGAAATCTAGACAGAACGCAACAGAAGCAAAATGATTTTTGGTCGGTCTAGCCACACACTCCATGGGAACCTCAGCAGACTAGGGTTGTCACGGTAATCGGTGTAGCGGTAAACCCCAGTAAAAAAGTTGACAATAAAAATAACCGTCAGTGGATTACCGCGGCCACGGTTTACACACGGTGACCCTTACCAACCACCGTCGCTTCTGCTGAAGTTTCCGCGCACTTTTTAGTTTGCAACCAAAACTTTGAAGCTGAACTAATGGCAGAAGGAGGAGACGGCAGCGCCCAGGACATCCATCAGCCCTCAAAGAAGACTAAATCGGAAGTATGGGCATATCTTGGATATCTGAAAAATGCTGAGGGACAGTTAATAGAAGACGGCTATCCTGTTAGCAGAACGTGCAGGAAACACGTGTCTGCAAAAGGCAGCAACAATTCGAATCCAATGTCACATCTGCGTGACCATCACCCACGTCTCTACAGCCAGTGCAAGGTAAGTTAACATTAGCATTTTAGCTTAAATGCATGACGTGAGGACTTTTGGTTGAGGGAGAATGTCACTATATACTGCAGCCGCAGCGCCCTCTGCCAGCATTTAAACAGCGTCACGGACACCCCATATTAAAATGATGTTATGCATTATGGCTCCCATGGCGCAGATGAGTGTGTCGCCACTGCTCACCCCATTATTATGAATTTAATAATGATTACTGCTTGATGACATTTTCCCTAATCTGCAATGATATATCATTTAACTTGAAGGACACAAACTGAGGACAATATTTTCCTGATGTAGAGGTTTATTTTAGTTGTCTGAAATTGTAACACACTTCTGGCACTATAATTAGTACATTTAATACCCTCGAAGTGATCAACAACGCATAGTTATAATGAAATATTGGAATTAATGGGAAATATGCCTTGAACTTCCTTTAAAATGCCCTGTGAGGTAATACATTTTAGCCAATCCTTTTCTTTTTATTTAGCAAAAAAAAAAAAAACAAAAAAAAAAAGGTATAGGAAAACTCATCGTATGTATATTGATGTGAATAGTTGAATAATGATAATGATTCATAACAATAATGACATGGATAATTTTTTTATACATTTTATTTTTGTTTACAGAGAGGAGCAGTGGGACAGACAGCGAGGCAACGGAGTAACGCTACTGGATCATCAGTGACTCAGACACTTGAGCAAGCACTCCAAAAACAGACCGATTATGTGCCTGCATCCCAAAAGGCTCAAGAACTGACTGCAGCCATCGCCTATTTAATAGCAAAAGACATGATGCCTTTCCAGATAGTCGAGAGACCTGGCTTTCTGAGGATGATGAAGGTTGCCGTGCCTCATTACAAAGTGCCTACACGCAATTATTTTTCTAAGACAGAAATCCCAAAAATGTACAACGCAGTCAAAGCTGACGTTAAGAAGAGTTTGGCTCAGGGTGAATTCTTTGCTGCCACTACTGACCTCTGGACCAGTGAAAGAGGGGGTGGTCTACCATACATCAGCTTTCCAGTTCATTATCTCACCCCAGACTGGCAACTGGAATCACACTATTTAGAAACCCAGTTTTTTCCAGAAGTTCACTCTGCTCAAAATATTGCAGTTTTTTGAAAATATGTTGGAGGAGTGGGAGATAAACAAGACAGATCTGGTCTCCATAACCACAGATAATGCAACCAACATGACCAAGGCCTTTGAAGAGTTTCCAGATATGTGGCTTGGATGCTTTGGTCACAATTTGAACCTGGCCATCTCAAAGGCTCTGAAAATACAGAGAGTTGAAACAGCGGTAAGGACCTGTCGTCATCTTGTCCAAGGCTTCTCACGGAGCTGGAAGAGAAAGAGGACTGAGAGAAAAGCAAGCTGCCCTCACCTTGCCACCGCTGGCTCTCATCCATGACGTTGTGACCCGATGGGGATCGACATACAAGATGCTTGAGCGGTTTATCAGCCAGCAGCAGGCAGTCTGTGCTACACTGGCTGCAGAAAGAGGAGCTTGGCATCTGATGCCCAAGGACACTGACATAATTGTGTTGAGGGTCTGACCTCATGAGGAAATTACTATGCAGTGATTTTCTCCAAAATGACCGTGCTTAAATTGCTCTGAAAAGCAAATAATCACATCAGCGCCAAGAAACTTCATTTCCCATGATGGTTTGCACACGGAAGCATTGGGATGATGTCACCGCCTAATACCAGAAACACGTTCTGCGCATGTGCGGGAGGCCGTGGAGCTTTTCCCGCGAACTAAGACCATAAATCTTCAGCAGAGACAAAGAAACCTCGTTCTTTTGCCCAGGATACCTGGCAGTAAGGACACGCTTGTCGAACGCTCCGACTCCCTTGAGCACGCGGAAGCTCTAAGTGCCCAAGTTGAGCCCACGGAACTGCTGGAAACTACACACCAACTCCATCGGGACCTGACTGGGAACGAGCGGAGCTCCATCCAGCTCTCAGAGACGCTGTAAGTTGTCAAACTCAGCCCAAAAGAAACTTCGTTCTCTTTGTGTCCAGCCCGTTGGAGAAACACTCGTGGGGCCAAAACAACGGAGAAAGCATCAAACCGACGGACGACGCCAAACTGCGGAGAAACACAGAGAAACATGGAGAACCGTCAAATCAAACAGCGGGGGACGCCTTGCTGTTCTGGTGATCAGAAAACTCATTTCTCTCTCTCCTTTTCTTCTCCCGTTTCCTCTATAGTCCAGAATAAGCAATAAAACCGCGCTATTGCTTAAAACGTAGCTTCGTGTTTTCCTCTTTCGTTCCCAAACACGTCCGTCGGGTCATTTTGAAAGAATAAACTGCTTATTGATCATTGTTTGGTATCTTTAAATGTTTTCTGCTTGGCCACGTGGTTAAACTAAAAGATATTAACTTGTGATTAATCGTTTGTGTTGTTTCATGATCCTTTGAAATGTTTTGAGTGATTTAAGGTTAAGTTACTACTGATTCTAAGTGCCTTGGAAGTTAAAGTGCAAGTTGCCACCCACACTTTAGCCAGACAAAGGGGTCAGCCATCTTGCATACAGACTCCATTTTAGAAACACACACACACACATACATACACACAAAACACCTTGAACATTATTTTGAATATACATCCTTTTATTATATCACATGGTTATTAGTCATTTATGCCACTGTTTATTCATTTGACAAATTGTTAATTAAACATTATAAAATTCAGATTTTCGTCTCCAGTAGCTTTGTTGTGTCGAAGAGAAGTCTCTGCTCCGAGGATTCTACGAACTTCAAGAAAGACTGATAAGAGTTTTGGATTCCATTTTTCCCCGGTTAAAGGGGAATGGTGCCCCGTATATCTAAGAATATCTTAATTAATTAATAAATCAGTAAATATTCCCATATTTACAGAATTTATTGAAGAATCCAAAAGTAAGTTAAAGCTTACAAATTGTTCGCTCCTAATAACCCCAACAATTGTCATGGAGCAAGTCTGCCAGCTCCTTGAACCACTGAGCAAGTTTACAGATGCACTTTGCTCAGAGACACGAGTAACTTTATCAGCCATTAAGCCAGTCCTTGACCACATCACTGGTGATGCTGGAGGAAAATGAAGAGGAACCAGCCCTGACCAAGCAGATGAAACGGGCAATGAGAGAAGACCTAAACAACCGGTTCACAGAGAAAGCAAAAGATGTCATGCAGATGGCTTGTTTCATTGACCCCAGGTTCAAGAATAACTTCTTAGAGGCCCCTGTGGATGATGTAGTTGACCGCTGTGTTCAGGACGCCTTGAAGCTGACCCCTGTACAAGTCAGGCAGGAACCACAAAGCACCAGCAGTAACTCTACAGCTGCATCAGGAGGGAAAGGCCTTGCTGGGCTACTAAAAAAGATTACCTCAACAAGGCAGCAGCGATCTGAAGAGGGTTCAGGTCAAGCCGCCCCAGAACATAAAGTGAAGGAGGAAGGCAAAGTCTACATGCCTCTGCCATCCATTCTAGCTGATGATGATCCACTGGTGTGGTGGAGGGGCCATGCATCAGAGCTGCCGCATCTCGCCAGGCTGGCAAAAAAGCTTTTGTGTATCCCAGCGATTAGTGTTCCATCAGAGGGAATATTCAGTGCCAGCGGGTACATTCTTTCCTCTCGTAGATCACATCTTAAACCAGACAAGGTTAATATGTTGACATTTTTGCATTTCAACCTGAAGTAAATGGTCATGCATACAGTCATGATGCTGGTTGCTGGATGAAGCACCTTATTTGTTGAAGATGAAGAGAAATATACAATTAGTTCCTTGTCATTGATTTGTTTACTTATTCAATGCCATTTATACGTGAACATTTGGATTTGATTACATAGTGTAGTAGTTATTTTAGTAATTTGTTTAAAGTGGCCATTTATTTTAAATACATATTTTTTTAAGGTTGACTTGTACAGTGCTCAAGTCAAGTGTGGACTGGAGTTTTAGATTTTCATTTTGATAATGAAGAAAACAAGTATATGAGAAAACAAGTGGCGTTTCTTTGATTTGTTTACATATTGTTTATGTTTTGAATGTTTGGATTTGTATGATTTAAACCTGCATTACTGTAACATGTTCCAGAAAAATAAGCTATTTGTTCCTTTACTTGTGAAAAGTTGCACTTTTGCTAAGGTTTTGTGTTATTTTAAGTTTAATAAACACTGTTAAACCTTTTCAAAATATTTCAGTTTGTGTAGAACAGGACTATCAATGCTTTCTGAACATATGCAACACCGTTTAAAAAATACCGCGATAATACCGAAAACCGTGATCATTTTGGTTACAATAACCATGAGGTTAAATTTTCACACCGTGACAACCCTACAGCGACCCTTGCCAATCACAACAC